ACTTATCAATGGCAAGGTTAGCCCCCATCCAGCCTTTCCTTCCTAGGCCACTTTGCTGAACAGCTCCCAAGTTGGCATCTTTCTCAGAGGCTCCTGTCCAGCTGGGGGAAGGAGGAGACTATGTTAGGGGCTTCTGGGACTCTAAACTCTTCCTGGAGCACAGGACCATGACCTCCCTGTTTTCTCTCCCAAAGGAAGAGGCAGGGTTTCAGCCAGACCCAAAGCCCTTAAGGCTGCAAGGCCAAAGCCAGTGGTTAGGGTCATGGTTTGGCCTCCAGATCCAGGCCAATCCCAGACAGCCCCAGGACCAAAGCCTTCCTAGTGCAAAGGGTATGCTCAGGCTTCTTCGTTTTTATGGGCAAACCAGGACTTCCCCAGGATGGGCTGCCCGATATGTCTCCATGCTGTGGCTCATGAGGCCTCCTCTGTTGCCTCTATACTAGGCTTTGCTGGTGCCCAAACCCCAGCTCTTTTTGACTTTGTCAAATGAGGATAATGCTTACTGCCACCTGGGCTGTGGTAAGAACAATTAAATGAAGTTACCCTTTGCATCAGGTACCTGGCATGGGCAGGCATCTGGCTAATATGAGCTGATCTTTTTTCCTGGCTCCTCCCTACTTACCTGCACAGTACTACCCAGGACTTTTAGCTGTGCTGGACTCTCATTGCTGGGCCGTTGGCATCCCCGGTGCTTTGTGGTAGAAGTGATGTTTTTATTTATTTTTTTAAAAAAGATTTTATTTATTTATTCATGAGCAACACATACAGAGAGAGGCAGAGACCCAGGCAGAGGGAGAAGCAGGCTCCACGCAGGGAGCCCAACACAGGACCCAATCCCGGGACCCCAGGATCACGTCCTGGGCCAAAGGCAGGCGCTAAACCGCTGAGCCACTCAGGGATCCCCAGAAGTGATGCTTTTAAATTAATTAAATCTCTACATCCAACTTGCGGCTTGAACTCACTAAGCTGAGATCACATGCTCCTCTGACTGAGCCAGCCAGGTACCCCTAGAAGTGATTTCTTTCTTTCTTTCTTTCTTTTTTGATTAAGACTTTATTTATTTGATGGAAAGAACCAGAGAAGTGCACGTGGGGGGGGGGAATGGCAGAGGAAGAAGCAGGCTCCCCACTGAGTAGGGAGCCAGACGTCGGGCTCCATCCCAGGACCCTGGGATCACGACCTAAGCAGAAGGTAGACGCTTAACCAGCTGAGCCAACCAGGCATCCCCAGAAGTGATTTCTTACCCAGTTATAGCACTATGTGTTCAACTCTTTCACTGCCCTGCTTACACTCGTGTGTGGTCTTTCCCTATTTCCCCATCCCCCCTAGCAGTTTGTGAGCTTGTGGGGCGGGGGTAGAGACCAAGTCTGGTTCATTTCTCTGTCCTTGTTGTCAGGCTTATTATAGTCAGGGTCTGACTTAGCAGCTGCCTGGTAAACCTTTGTTGGATGAATAAGTAGGAGCCCCTCTCCTCTTTGATCCCATTCCCCCTCAATCTCTTTTTCCCCTCCACTCAAGGGCAGGAGGTTGCTGTGTGCCCTTTTTTAGAACTTCTCTTCCAGTGTGGACCTGTAGCCATAGTTGCAGCTTCCTTGCTGGTGACCCCTGGCTGGGAGATGGCTGTCCCTGCAGGGCAGGGATGGATTGGGGGGAACTGGCTGAAGTGTGCTATTCCATAGCCTCTAGGGCAGGAGAGGCACATGCTGGAATATTGTGCACAAACAATGGTCTCTGTGCTGTCCATGGAAGCCCATTAAGGGTTTTCAGGTGCCTTTGTTATCTTTGGAAAGCCAGCCACACCTTCCTGGGGTGTGGGCCCTACTGGTGGAGCTGCTGTGCATTCCCTTGTCACCGCCCCCCTTCATCCCCTACTGTCCAGCCACCCTTGTGGGACTTGCTGCCGGCCCCTCAGTTGCATGTGGTCTCCATCTGTGCTAGTCTTACCCCTTCTGTGACTGATGACCTGTTATTTACCAAGCCTTTTCAGGCCCTGAAGCTCCTCTGAGCTTCTTGACCGCTCCATCAGGTAGGTCACCTATCTTCTATTTGATAGGAAGCTGAGGTTTGGAGAGTTCAAGTAGCTTACCTGAAATCACAGGTCAAGTGGGTAACAGCTGGGATTGGCATGCAGAGCCTCCGTACCTAGTACTTCCTACTCTGCTGGAAATTTCACTCATCTGAGCTGGGGAAAAGTGGCCTGCAGAGAAGCGATTCCCCTGTCTAGTCAGCATTAGCCCAGATCCTGTAAATCCTGGGGCAGGGTGATATCCCAGAGGAGCAGGCTTGGGATTTCTGGTCCCTAGCCTGGATGCTGGATAAGCCTGGCTTCTTCCTGTGGCCAGGAGAGGGCGTAAGGGGCCTGGGAAAGTTCTGCTGCTGCTGGTTTTGTTTTGATATGGAAAATATGTTTTTTTTTTAATTTTTTTTTTTTATTTATGATAGTCACACACAGAGAGAGAGAGAGAGAGGCAGAGACACAGGCAGAGGGAGAAGCAGGCTCCATGCACCGGGAGCCCGACGTGGGATTCGATCCCGGGTCTCCAGGATCGCGCCCTGGGCCAAAGGCAGGCGCCAAACCGCTGCGCCACCCAGGGATCCCTGGAAAATATGTTTTAAGTGACACGTGGACATTATTATTTTTTTATAGACTTAATTTTTTAGAGTGGTTTTAGGTTCACAGCAAAACTGAACAAGAGTTCCCATATTGGGGTGCCTGGGTGGCTCAGTCAGTTAAGCGTCTGCCCTCGGCTCAGGCCATGATCAGGGTTCCCTGCTCTGCTGGGATTTGGCTTCTCCCTCTGCTGCTCCCCCCGCCCCCTGCTTGTGTGTGTGCATGCACGCTCTCAAATCTTTTTTTAAGATTTTATTTATTCATGAAAAAGGCAGAGGGAGAAGCAGGCTCCCTGCAGGGAGCCTGATGTGGGACTTGATCCCCGGACCCTGGGATCATGCCCTAAACTGAAGGCAGACACTCAACCACTGACCCACCCAGACGTCCCATAAATAAAATCTTTTTTTTTTCTTTTTCTTTTCTTTTTTTTTTTTTTAAAGAGTTCCCAGGCAGCCCGGGTGGCTCAGCGGTTTAGCGCCACCTTCAGCCCAGGGCATGATCCTGGAGACCCCGTCAGGCTCCCTGCATGGAGTCTGCTTCTCCCTCTGCCTGTGTCTCTGCCTCTCTGCCCGCCTCCTCCCATCTCTCATGAATAAGTAAATAAAATCTTTAAAAAAAAAAAAAGAGTTCCCATATTGAACAGGGAGTTTCCACATAACCCCTGCCCCAAACATGCATAGTCTCCCCCATTATTAATATCCCCTACCAGAGTGGTGCATTTATTACAATCAGTGTTCATGTAGGACACATCATAATCACCTGAAGTCCACAGTTCACATTAGGGTTCACTCTTGGTGTCGTACATTCTGTGGGCTTGGACAAATGTATAATGACGTGTAACCACCATTGAAGTACCATACAGGGACACCTGGGTGGCTCAGCGGTTGAGCATCTGCCTTTGGCTCGGGGCATGATCCTGGGGTCCTGGGATCGAGTCCCGCATCGGGCTCCTTGCATGGAGTTTGCTTCTCCCCCTGCCTGTGTCTCTTCCTTTCTGTGTGTGTGTCTCTCATAAATAAATGAATAAATTTTTTTAAAAAAATACCATACAGAGGGTGCCTGGATGGCTCAGTCATTTAAGCATCTGCCTTCGGCTCAGATCATGATCCTGGGGTCTGTGATCAAGGCCCACATTGGGGCTCCCTACTCAGTGAGGTGTCTTCTTCTCCCTCTCTCCCCCCCCACTTGCGCATTAGCTCTTTCTCTCTCTCAAATAAATCTTTTTTAAAAACTATCATACAGAGTAGTTTCACTGCCCTAAACATCTTCTTTTCTGCTGCTTCATCTCATTATTTTTTAAAAGATTTTAATTATTCATGAGAGTGAGAGAGAGGCAGAGACATAAGCAGAGAGAAAAGCAGACTCCCTGCAGGGAGCCTGATGTGGGACTTGATCTCAGAACCCCGGGATCACAACCTGAGCTGAAGGCGCACACTCAACCACTGAGCCACCCAGACATCCCTCTTCATTATTTTTTAAGTCTGAAGATCCACATTTGTATAGGCTTACTACACCTGAACCTTTGGGTATACACCTGGTGTGTATACTGTGTGCTATATAACACCTCTGGTGGGGTCTGTGGCAGTACCTCATAACTCAAAACACCTGAATGTTTCTGCATGATAATGTTTGAATATACACCTTCAAGTGGGATAAATAGGTTCTCACCAGCTCAGATCAGGTTATGATGGCAAATGAATTAGACTTTTGGTTTTCAAAGCTTTTGGAGTTCTGGAATTTTGGACAAGGGATTGCATACCTCTCATGAAAGAAGGTCAAATAAAACCATCTATAATACTAACTTTTAAGGATAGTTTGTCGTATGGTCTTTGCAAGTTTTATGTGTTTATATTCATATACATAAATGTGTATACTTTAAATGCGTTCAGTTATAAGTGAGATGTGATGTTTGCGTTTTGCTTTATACAATATATCTTGGCATTCCCTAGCTATACGTAGGGCTTGGGATCCAGGTTCTAGCCAGTTATTCCCTCCTCAACAGCTTCCCTATTCTAAGTGGCTAAAGGGTCACCAGGTTAAACTCTTTGAGGTACAGCCAAGTTCTTTCACTGCCCCATCCCCAGGTAGCCAGGTCTGGGCCTTTGGCTGCCTGTGGGAGCCCAGTATTGGATTCCCAGGATGGTCACCAGGGTCAGTTAGACAGCAGATGAGACCCTTCTGGGATCAAGTCTCATACTCACACAATGACTACTTTCCTCAAAGAAAAGGTCTCCTCCTCCACATGCATGGAGTGTCGAGCAAGGCTGGGAACTTGACCCTGACCAGTGTCCTTTCAGCCAGTTAGCCAGGCCCTTTGGGAACTGGAGGGCAGGGCCCTAGGGAGGGGGTACAGGCCTTTCCTGTTGCTGACCCCCGCCTCTTCCTCCAGCAGGAGCACTGGTTTGAAAAGGCCCTGAGAGACAAGAAGGGCTTCATCATCAAGCAAATGAAGGAGGACGGCGCCTGTCTCTTCCGGGCTGTAGGTGAGTCTCTGCCTCAGCCTTCAAGGGGCCTAGGGCTGCCCCTGAGCTGTTTCTAGTGTTTATTAGGAGTAATCTCTGAGACTGCTGAGGATTGAGCTTACTGGTGATTCAGGGACTCCGGGCCCCAGCCTCAAGTTAGTATCTGGCCTCTATCCGTTGGTCATAAGGCAGTGCAGTGATGTGAAAGTAATAATAATAACCATAATAGTGATAAAAAATAATGTTACTTAGGGACAGATTGCACTATCAGACACCAAAGGAAACCTTTTTTCATTCTTCCCCAAGCTAGGTAAAGGTAGGGACTATTGTGGTTTCCATTTTTCAGAAGAGACAAATAGCTTAGAACAGAGAAGTGACTTGCCCAGGGTCAGATAGTAGAATTGGAAGTCTCTGGTTTGGGTTAGTCTGAGGCCCATGTTCTTAACCACAGTACACTGCTGTCACCTGGGATCATAGAATTTTTTAAAACTTACACAAAAGAAGAATAGTGCATTCTCGTGTACACCCATTATTCATCTTCAAAATAATCATCAACACATGGCCAGCCTTGTTTCATCACTACCCTGTCCACTCTTTTTCACTCTCCTGAAACAGCATTTTTAAAGCAAAACCCCAACATTGAATCTTTTTATTTGTAAACATTTATGTACATTTCTCTGACAGATAAGAATTCTTTCTTTCCTAACATAACCGGTGTCATTATTCTACCTAACAACATTCATAATTTCTTCATACCATCTACTGTCCAGCTGGAGTGACATCTTTGAGGCCTCTCTGGCTCTGAATCTATGACCCAGGCAGTTTGAAGGTCTTGTGCTAGCATCCAGGGGAACTTTGGTAATGTGATTTGATCCTTCCACTGGGGCTGTGGTATCTCTCAGGGAAAAGGGCCCTCTGATAGGAGCCTTGAGGTAGGGGTCAGAAACCCTGTCTTCTAGTTCTGGCCATGATTCAAAAACTTCCATTTTTCCAAAAATCTATTAAATGGTGTTGATTCTGAAGGGCTCCTTGAATCTTTACAAGGTCTGCTATTCTCTCACCATGTGGCTAGCCCCCATGTCTACTGGTGGGCTGGACTGACTCAGGCTCCACTCCTGACTGTGCCATTGATTCTTGATATGAACCTGGACAAAAGCTCTTTTTCCCTGAGCCTGTTTTTGAAGCTGTAACGGAGGCCAAAGACCCAGAGTTGTGACAATTAAATGAGATTACTTCAGTAAATTCCTTCAGTGCCTCTGACACCTAGTAGACCCCCAGGGAACAGGATAGCAGATGGTAAAGTCTGAATGCTGTTTACACTAGTGTCTCAAAACCACAAATGTTTTGTCAAATGGGTGGAAGAAGTTGAGTGAGGTGAGTGCTTGCCTCTTCGTTCTGCCAAGCAGAAGAGTTGAGTTCAGGCAGTAGATTCTGCCAGTCTGGGAAAATCCCACTCCTACTTGTGGTTCAAGCCTGTGTTCTCCCTGGGATGTTTCCTAGAGAAAGAACTGGGTTTTGGGGCATCTTGGGCCAAAGGAAAGCAAAGAAAGAATAGGTAAGGGCCTGTTAGGTGCTAGGCCTTATGCTGAACCCTCAGGATGGATATGAGGCGAATGGGGCTGCTGGTAGACTGAAAGGAAGAGAATACAGCCAGGCACCTGGGTCTAGGGTGGTTTTTGAGACAGATGTTAGGGCTGGCAAGGACCTGGCTTGTGCAGTAACCCATATCAACAGCAAAGTTTCATGTGTGTCCGTCCAGCTGACCTCCTCAAACACCCTCTGACACCCCCCACCCCCCGCCTCTTTGGGCCTTCCAGTAAAGGGCCTGAGCTTACAGGAAGAGGTGACCGCGGCAGGTTGAAGGCCTTTCCCTATCAGCACTCTGGCTACCCATTTCCCCCAACTGGGCTGCCCTTGGCTTTTCTCTGTAAAACCTCAGAAGCCCCATGGTCACCCCCTGGAAGTGCGTGGCCCCTGGGTCTCTAGTCCTCATCTGGAGGTTTCCCTGAGGCAGATTGCACAGGACATGTGCCTGGGAAGGGGACTTTGTCCTCAGGCTTTCTACTGCCCCTCTGCTTCCAGCGTAGCTTGTACTGGGACAGTACAAGCAACTGGTGGCAGTTGCCCTGATCTCCAGATGAGGAGGCCTACAGGTTCTAGCTTCCTGCCACGCATTTCATAGTGGAAGAAGCACATAACTGAAGGCTGGAGCTGGAGGGGGAATTACACACAGGCTGCTCTGTTGTTCCCTGACCCTGTTTGCTGGCATTCAGCTGGGTGCTTCAGATTCATCTGCAAAATTGGGATTATTATTCTATGAGATGGGAGAAGATTAAGGCTCAGGAAAGGGAAATGATATGCTCAGGGTCATTAGTGGCAGAGCTGGCATGGGAACCCACAGGTGTCCAAAGGACACGTTCTTTCTATGACCCTGGGAAAGCCCTAGCTTCTCAGCTTAGCTATTGACTGGCTGGGTGACCTCAGCTATATTCCTTGACCTCTCTGGGCCTTACTTCCTCCATTTAGGAGCCTGTGGTCCCCTACTGTTGGGAATCCTGGGGCAGGTGGCTTTCTACCCTCAGATTTACCTCTGAGGTGTGGGTGTCTCTAGTATGAACCAGTGTTCACTGCTCTTTCCCAGCACCCCTTGTTGGGGACTTGTGAGCATCAGTGAAGGCTTGGATGGATGGAGTGGAAGTAGGAGTCTGAGTTCCTGAGGTATCCTGTGGCCCACCCTGCCCCTTCTAGGCTCAGATAACCTCCTCCTGGAAATATGAGTCTGCCGCTCTCTTGCCCTCTCCCCATATAACTTTTACTCAGCAAAAACCTCTGGCCCTGGCCTTTGCAGGCAAAGTGAAGGCCACACATGCGTCTCTCTGGTCCATGGGAAGCAGCTGGAGCTGTATATGTTACAATGATGGGGCCCAGAACATTAGCCTGGACCATCAGCATTGGAATGATGGATTTTCAATTAATTTTGACTGTTTTATAAATGGGAAAACTGAGCCCTTACGAGAAAGCCAGGACCCTATTCTGGTCACATAGCCAGTGTCAGAACACTGGTTTGAGGTTGAACTAGGCCAGGAGGAGAAGATTCCCATGGACTATTATGTACACCAGTTTCCATCGGGCTCTTTTGCCCTGCTTCCTTAGTTTTCCCATCTTTGCCATGGGAATCCTTGAGTAGAGGAGTGGGCATCTCAGAGATCAAGCTGTTAAGAGGACTGAGTTGTGTTTCCTCTCACCAAGGGTGTCTCCCCCCACTGAAGGTGTGCCATTTGGGGTCGTGGGCCAGGTGCACACCGCAGCTCCTTGACAGGCAAGTGAGGCCTTTTTCCTGGCTCATCTCCTCAGTGAGGCCAGGATTCCCACTGGGCCAGGAAGCAAGTGGGGAACAGATCAAGTTCCTGTCTCCTCCTGCTGCTGTGTGTACACACATTTGTGTGGTTTGTTTTTAGATTCCCTGCAGACACCAGGCTTCCTTTTCTGTCCTCAGCAGAACTTGCCGTGGCTCTTCTAGCAGGCAGGCAGGCAGCAACCTGGTGGGGAGGCAGTTCCCAGGTGCCTCTAAAACAAATGGTAGGGCCCTGTACTTAATTAAACACCTTTAGATAGTCCAGGCTTTCCTGTCTTGCTTCTCCACATAACTCTTTGGCAAATAGTGGCTATTTTAGGGAGCCTGAGGAGGAGGGATTACAGTGGTTTGGAGGACCTTCCCCCAGGCAGTAGGGGAAGGAGGTTGAGGCAAGTCTCTTAGAGCTATCAGCTATTTCTCCCTCCCATGGGAAAGGGTAGGAAGGAGGTGGCGGTGCTGTTTTGTACAGCTTTGTCTCTCATCCAGCCTTTAGTCTTTCTTGGTTAGCAGCAAGGGTAGTTAGTTATTGAATGGGATAGGTCTCTGTAGTTGTGAGGGTGGTATGGGTATTTGGCTCAGGGAACATCTTTGGCAGGATCTGCTGGCTTTGTGTGTGTGTGTGTGTGTGTGTGTGCGCGCGCGCGCGCACATGTGTATTTCTATGCTGGTGTCTCAGCGTGCTTAGAGAAAGGACAGATGTGGGGTGTGGGGAGGTAAGATTTATGCTGACCTCTCTAAGTTCTGCCCACTCCCAGGCCTTTCCTGGGTTCCAGCTGGTTCCTACTTGTGCAGGTAGGGAAACTGAGGCAGGCAGAATCAAGCCTTTCTCTAGGCAGGCAGATGGCTAAGGGGACAGCTAGATTGGGAGTAGTGGTACACTGGAGCATCAGTGTTTGAAGTCACCAGTTAAACTCTTTGAGAGCCTGGCCTTACCTTCACCCTCCCTAGATGTGTGACCTTGGGTCAACTGTGCCATATTTCTCAATCTCATCCCTCCTGTGTAAAGTAGAGTTTTTTTGGGTCAAGATAGGATAAGTTGGAATGTGAAAAGGCCTTGGTGGAACCAATTCTGCTATCGTCCTGAGGATTTCTGAGCCCTCTTTGGGTTGGGATAGAGGTGAGGTAGTGGGGGACCCCCTTCAGCTGGACTCTGGGAGGGAGAGCAGGTGCGGATTGCCCACAAGTGCAGCGTCAGCAAGAAGAGGAGTTTCGGTTTCTATCAAAACAAGGTCTCTGAATTCCCCTACCTCTGCAGGTCCATTGGGCCCTTTTCCCCACCTTGGCCCCCACAGGGAAGTCCAGCTTAGTCCCTTGTCTCCAGTGCCAACTCACTGAGGGGAGGAGAGCTTTCTGGAGGACAAAGGTGGGGCTAGCAAAGTCAGACAAGCACTGCCTCAATGGGGAGGACTTGCTGTGTTTTATCCCTGCCTTGGATGGTTATCCCACCTTAATATCATTGAAAAGATCCTTTTCTCTCTCATTGGGGACGTATTCTTACTCGGTTTCCTTGGTGTTTAGATACACATATTTTCTTCCACATTTATGATCCCAAAACTCTAGGGTATATCTTAGAATCAGTGAGGTGGGTGGTGCCGCTGCTTCCCACCACCCAACAGAAGCTGTCTTTTAAACACATGTACGGTACCATCTGTCAGTGCATCTCAGGATTGAGGAAAGAAAGGGTATTTTACAGGTGGGTGGAAAAAGTCACTTAAGGATCCCGTTTTGTGTGAAGCCTAGACTCCTGGTTTAATGTTAATGTGATTGCTGAAGATTTGAACTATGGACACAGAATGGAGACCTATGGATCTTTGGATTCAGGAAAGGTAGTGAGCAGGACCTGCTTGTATGAGGAGGGACACCCTAGACTCCTTGTCTGGGGCTTTCCTCTGGCTGAGGAAGTGCAGCAGAAATGAGGAAGGACATAATAAGTGGTTCCGGTGACATTCTGATTGACTTGGGGAGGGTTAACTATCTGAAAGAGTCCTTGTCCACTCAGGACAGAGGGAGCCCCTGGGTTCATTTCTTGAACACATGGCACACCTTAGGCATCCAGCAAACCCTACCCCTGGTCTCAACAGCCCCCTGTGAAAGGGAGAGGAGTTATTCTCCCCACTTCATGGATGAAGACGTTATAGCCTAGAGAGCTCAAGAAGGCCTTGTCCAGTGCCGCACAGCTAGGAGTCAGCAAAGCCTTTCTGCTAGGCAAAGGGGCTAATGGCAAGGGATAGGGGGTGGTTGGGGTGCTTTGTTAGCTTCCTGCAGCTCCCTTCTCTATTCTAGTCTCCCCTTTCTGCCATTTTCTTGGCATCTGGCACCTCAGGTAGAACCATCTCTCAGGAAATGCCTGTTGATCCTTTCTGAGGAACCTCTCAGCCACCTCCTTGAGCTTGACAGGCCAGCCCCTATTTAACCCCTTTGCTGCCATCTCAGTTCCTGTTTACTGCAGCTGCTGGCAGCACTGCCTCCTCAGCACCCCAAGCTCCTTCTACATAAATAGCCCTCGGCAGCCACAGCGGGCTCTGTGGTCTTAGTTTCTAAGAAAGGCAGCAGCAGGGGGGCCCCAGCCTCTGCGCAGGGCACGTGACTAGCTGGAAGTGCTGTTGAGGGGGGGGAGAGTGTGGCCGCAGAACCCACATCCTTGTTTACATGGTGAAGGGGCTACCCCTTCCTGCCTTCACAACTCCCCTCCCCCTCGGGGTCTCTGCACCTCCGTGAGAGGCCGAGAGAGGCCGTGAGATAGGCATGGGCCCCATTGCCCCATTTTCTATCTCAGAGTAGCCTTTTTCTCCTTATCTCATAGATTCCTCCAGGGAGGGAGGGGGGAGGGCAGTGAAGGCATTCTTCTGACGATTATTCAAAGGTAGACTGGCGGTCATGGAACAACACTGGGGTGTTCCCTGTGGGACCCTGCCCCTGCCCCAGTGCCCCAGGGAGATTCACATCAGAGAAGCAGTCCTTCGGGGAGACAGGGAAATTCTCTCTTTGTCTTAGCCAGTGGACATCAGGCGTGCCTTGTCTTCAAGCCCACTTTAATTTCCCAGGGAGAAGGCTCCCTGGCTCCCCCAGCCTGTCCATCCACACAACAGGCTGTTTCCCATTTCCCAAACTGTATTGGGCCTTGAGCTGCAGTGGACTTGGCTGTGACCTGCTCTCGGCACTCAGTGGGAGTCAGAGTGGTCAGGCAGAGGAAGCCTGCACACACCTTTGATAAATCTGGTGATAGAAGTGCTCTGGAGGGTGGGAGGGGTGGAAAACTATATAAAGTATACATGGGTTTCTGACGAATAGGCAGCCGAGAATGGTGGAAAAAAGCCCCGAAAAGAGGAAATGGCATGGGTGAAGATCCCACAAGTAAGGCAGGGGGAGCCTGGTTCGTTCTTTGATCAAAACCCCATGACTGACCATTTGGGCCATAGGCTGCCTTTCCTGAATTAAGCTTAAGTTATGTTTACCTGTGTCTTATTTCTCTTGCCTAGATGGTGTGCTGCTTGCAGACAGGGGCAGGATTTTACTCCCCCTTGTCACCTTCACACTACCCCACTTCCAGTCCCACTATGGGTAGGGGACTCTGATTTACTGAGTTACTGCTCTGTCCCAAGCCTAGTGCTGGTCACCTTACACCCATTATCTCCTTGATCCTACAGGAGACCTGCCAGGGAGTTATCCTGCTTATTCCTGTTTTACACGTGAGGCATGTGAGGCTCAGGACACTTGGGCTGCTTGCCTCTGGTTGTTTAGCTCACTAGTATCTGGCAGAGCTGGGCATGGAGCCCAGTTATTTTTATTGTTTTTTATTTTTTTAACCTACGAAGGCCATGCTGGCTCCCATGGGTCAGGAAAACTGAATTCTAGAGTTGAATCTTGTCAGACTGACTTGCTGTGTGACCTTGGTGAAGCCACATACTCTCCCTCAGCCTCAGCTTCCTCATGTGAAGAGTGAGGGGGAGAGTGTGGAATTGCTGGTGCTCGAGGCCACTTAGGGGACTTAAGATGTTTGTTGACTTGTCTGAGTAGCCAGGCAAGCCCTGGACAAAGTCATCTGCCCGAGAGGCCTGTATTCTCTTGTTCTTATTTTTTTATAATGTTTTTATTTTATTTTTTTTACTTTTTAAAGTTTTAAAATTTGCTTATTCATGAGAGACACAGAGAGAGAGGCAGAGACATAGGCAGAGGGAGAAGCAGGCTCCATGCAGGGAGCCTGATGCAGGACGTGATCCAGGATCTCACCCTGGGCTGAAGGCGGCGTTAAACCGCTGAGCCACCCATGCTGCCCTCTTTTGTTCTTAAAAACTGTTCCTGCCTGTCTCTTTTTTTTTTTTCCATGACCCCATTCCAGCCCACAAAGCCAAGCACTCTCCAGGCCATAGCGTAGGAGAAGGAGTTTTCCTGGCCCCAGCCCTCCACCCCCAGGGATGTTCCATGACTTCAAACTCTTCTCTGGTGGTAGCTCTTGACCCCTGCCTCTCCTTTCTTCTGTCCCCACAGCTGACCAGGTGTATGGAGACCAGGACATGCATGAGGTTGTGCGAAAGCATTGCATGGACTATCTGGTGAGAGACCCTGCAGAGGCCTTGGGGCGGGGGCAGAGTAGCTGCATCTCCTCCCTGCACAGGCCTTGACCCTACAATCTCTTCTGCAGATGAAGAATGCTGACTACTTCTCCAACTATGTCACAGAGGACTTCACCACCTACATCAACAGGAAGCGGAAAAACAACTGCCATGGCAACCACATTGAGATGCAGGCCATGGCAGAGATGTACAACCGGCCCGTGGAGGTGTACCAGTACAGCACAGGTACTTCTGTGGTGGGTAGATGAGCAGCTGGCTGACCCTGATCTGAGCCTGCCCGGTCCACTGTGGATGCTCCTTCCTTCTCTCTCTCTGCAGAACCCATAAACACATTCCATGGGATCCATCAAAACGAGGATGAACCCATCCGCGTCAGCTACCATCGGAATATCCACTACAATTCAGTGGTGAATCCCAACAAGGCCACCATCGGAGTGGGGCTAGGCCTGCCATCATTCAAACCGGGGGTAAGTGAGTCCCCATGCCCAGGATGACTGCTAGACATAGAGGCCAGAAGCCTCTTTTGAGGTCTTAGTTCTGCCCTAGCCCACAAAAATGCCCTGTCCCCTGGAGTTGCTCTTGAGGTCTCACCTGTATAAAATTCGGGAGTTACCCAAGGTGATCTCTTGGGGCTCATTCCTTGGTCTCCTCTTGCCTGTCTGAGCTGGCTTTACCCATCTTCTGTGCCTGTTGAGGGTTGGCATTTGGGGCACATCTGGGAACTGTGAACCCAGGTTTGGTCTGGGTATCTTGGCACCCACATGGATCCTCTAATGCTCAGCAGTTCTAGATAGCTGTGGTCACAGACTTGATGGGCAGGCCTGGCCCTACTGCTTACTGGCTGTGGGACCTAGGGCAGATTATACCTGTAATCTGGGCTGGCTGCTCAGCAGATACAGAAAGTGCCTAACACAGGGCCTGTGGCCTAGTAGGCACTCAGAAGGTGGCAGTACATTTTCCAGCATATGCTGACATATTCTCATTCTCTCTCATAAACAGTCATCTTCTGGGGATTTTGCTATCTTCTCTTCAGGTTTCACTTCCTACAAACAGAAAGTGCCCCTACCTCATTTTAGGAAATGCACACCCTAACACACGCCCTCCAACGTAGGTTTTTTTTGTTTTGTTAAGTAAACTCTTAATTTTAGAATAGTTTTAGATTTACAGAATTACTGAGATTAGAGAATTTACATATTCCCCACTCTGATTAACATATCAGCCTAGAACATTTATCACAATTCTAAACCAATATTGATATTTTAACTCAAGACCATACTTTATTTAAATGACCTCAGTCATTCCCTGATGATCTTATCTATTCCAGGACCCATCCAGGAGACTGTACTACATTTAGTTGTCCTGTCTCCTTTGGCTCCTCTTGGCTCTGACACTTTCTCTGAATTTCCTTGTTTTTTATCTTTGATCTGTTTACAGACTCTAGTTTTGCCTTTTCTAGAATGTCATGGAATTAGAATTCTAACAGCATGTAGTTTTTTTCAGAGTGACTTCTTTCACATAACTTGATGTACTTAAATTTAAGAATGATCTATGACTTTTCATGGTCTGATCACTCATTTTTCTTTTTTTTAAAGATTGGCTTAGGGATCCTTGGGTGGCTCAGCGGTTTGGCGCCTGCCTTTGGCCCAGGGCACGATCCTGGAGTCCCGGGATCGAGTCCCGCGTCAGGCTCCCGGCATGAAGCCTGCTTCTCCCTCCTCCTGAATCTCTGCCTCTCTTTCTCTCTATGCCTATCATAAATAAATAAATAAATCTTTAAAAAAAAAGATTGGCTTATTTGAGAGAGAGCGAGCATGCATGAGCAGGAGGGGCAGAGGGAGAGGGAGAAAGAATTTCAGATTCTGTGCTGAGTGCACAGCCTGACATGGCTCGTGATTTGACCCTGAGATCGTGACTTGAGCCAAAACCAAGAATCAGAGCTTAACCAACTGTGCCATCCAGGCGCCCCACTCCTTTTTTCCCCCCTTTTTAAAAAATGAATGCCTTAAGGTTTTAGTTTGTAGACATAATTGTTTATAATGATTTTAAATTTACAAAAAAAAATGGAGAAGATAGTCTACAGAGTTCCCATGTATTCTTCTCCCCCCTGAGCAGTTTCACTGTTACTAAGGAATCTTGGAGGACTGTGATACATTTGTTCCAATATATGAACGAATGTTGATACATTTGATACATTATTACTAACTAAAGTCATCATGTCTCTTTAGGCTCCCTTGTCTGTGACGGTTTCTCACACTTTCATGTTTTTGATGACCTTGACCGTATTGAGGAGTACTGGTCAGGTATATTGTAGGATGGTTCTCTTTTGAAATTTGTCTGATGTTTTTCTCATTGATTACACTGGGGTTATGGGTTGGTTTTTTTAAATTTTTTTTAATTTTTATTTATTTATGATAGTCACAGAGAGAGAGAGAGAGGCAGAGACGCAGGCAGGGAGAAGCAGGCTCCATGCACCGGAAGCCCGATGTGGGATTCGATCCCGGGTCTCCAGGATCGCACCCTGGGCCAAAGGCAGGCGCCAGACCGCTGCGCCACCCAGGGATCCCGGGGTTATGGGTTTTAGGGAGGAAGATCACAGTGGTAGACTACCATTGTCATTACATCATATCAATGGTATATACTGGGAACATGATTTATGACTGTTGATGTTGACCTTGATCCCCGGCAGTAGTAGTTTTGTCAGATTTTTTCCACTGTAAAATTACTTCTCCCCCCCCCATTTCCTTTTTCCATACCTTCCTGTTTGGAAGGAAGTCATGATGTACAGCCCACACTTAAAAAAAAGTGGAGGTTATGCTCTATCTTCTTGAGGGCAGAGTATCTACATAAATTATGTAGAATTCTTCTGCAAGGGAAATTTGTCTCCCATTTATTTCAGTCAGTATGGACTGAGGTATTTCTTCTTTACTTTTATATTTTGGGTTATAATCCAATACTATATTTTGATGCTCACATTGTTTCCATTTTGCCTCTTGGAGGTCTCTTAGTTGGTTCCTGCACCTCTTTGACATCGTTGTGATGGTGGGTTGTTAGGTTATTTTTTCTAATTTTAGGTTTTTGTTGGTTTATTTTGTTTCATTTTGTAACACTTTCTTTCTGGCACTATGAGGTGCTCCAAGTTCATCTTGTATATTTCTTGCCCCAGTTCTAGAACCAGTCATTTTTTCCAAGGAGCCCTGGTTCCTTTTATTGGAATGATACTAGAAACCCAGATCTGATCTGAATACTGAGTGTGCTCCTTGCCACTGGGGTGCCCTTGCTTCTAGGCCCTTTCAGCTGACAGAGCAAGGAGATATATCTGTGTATACTAACCCATGTGTATACACTTACCTAGAAATATTTCTTTATGTAACCATCCATATCTCTATGAAGCTACAGTTCTTAACTGAGGTCTCCCAACTGGCAAAGGACTTCTTGGTTTTACTTTTTTTTAAGATTTTTATTTATTTACTCATGAGACACACAGAGAGAGGGCAGAGACATAGGAAGAGGGAGAAGTAGGCTCCTCACAAGGGAATCTGATGTGAGACTCGATCCCGGAACTCTGGGATCATGCCCTGAGCCGGAGGTAGACGCTCAACCACAGAGCCACCTAGGTGTCCCAGACTTCATGGTTTTAATTTGCAATTCCCTAGTGACAAATGATGTTGAGCATCTTTTCATGTGCTTATTTGCCACCTGAATATCTTTGAGGAAATTGTGTGTTTTTAAATTGGCTTGTTTTAACTTAGAGTTTTACATACTTTTTGGACTACTATGCATAGGTAAGATATTACATTTTACATCATAACTTAGTGCACACGCACATGGGTGTGTAGTGTGTATATTTGCATTAAAATAATGTTAAGAGTTTCACTGAGCAATACTTAATGCCTTGAATATGCTCTGGTATTTTTTTATTACTTCATTTTTTTTAATGCTGTTATATCTCATAGCCTGACAAAAAGCACTCTCCTACTGTGTCCCACAATTCCTCACACCCCTTCTTCCCGTGATGATACCGTTCCCTGTCCCCTTAAATGTCCCTTCACCCTGTGGACACACAGCTAACTTCTCAGGTGATCTTTTCTTCTGGTCCCATCTGGACACAGGTGAGGACAGTCTCAGCATTATGAAACTGAGTCATTGCTGGGTGAGGCATCTTTAAATCCCAGCAATTGGCTGCCCCAGGCAGAGTACTTCACTTAAGGTGTCTTGGGATTGGGAGCAGGGCTTCTAAGTATAGAAGTTTAGAATGACAAGTCCCTCTACCCAAACCTGCCTTCCGCCATTTCTTGATAAATTAGGCAGCCTACTCAGGGGGTTGGTTAGTAAGAGTAGCTGCCTTCCTATCTCCTCTTTTCTGGGCCTGTAGGCCCATAATCCCAAACTAGTTCTGGCTCATGGCCAGAGTTGAGTGTCACCCCACATCCCTGTTCATCCCTGCCTTGTAGTTTGCAGAACAGTCCCTGATGAAGAATGCCATAAAAACATCAGAGGAGTCCTGGATTGAACAGCAGATGCTGGAAGACAAAAAGCGGGCCACAGACTGGGAAGCCACAAATGAGGCCATTGAGGAGCAGGTGGCTCGAGAATCCTACCTGCAGTGGCTGCGGGATCAGGAGAAACAGGCCCGCCAGGTTCGCGGCCCCAGCCAGGTGGGTCCTGGGCTCTGTTATTGGCCTGGCCAAGAACCCCTTACTTGACATGCTCTGCCCCCAAACAGGCAGAAGAAATTAAGCAGTTTTGACATCTGGGAGAGAAGGAAGCTCTCAGCCTGGTCTGTACCACATCTCGGCTTTAGTCTTGGCATCGTGCCTTAGAACTCTCAACACCTTTGCCGAACAAGGTCTTAAGGAGTGAGGGAGGCCAGCCACTGGTGGTGACGTGGGGATTGATGGATAGTTATAGAGGGACAAGCTCTTGTTGAATGTCCTTCTATGTCAGGCTCTAGGCTGAAGATGTAAAATCCTGTCAGGCCTGCTCCACTCTCCGTGATCCCGTGTCTACTGAGGGAGACAGATACATCAGTGAGGCCCTTGACCCTGGCTGGGGGACCAGTGGACATGGGCGCCCTGGTCAGTCTTCACACAGCAAGGTTGGATTTTTAGGGCAGGGATGGGGCAAAGCAGGCAGGGATTTGAGGAATCACAAGGAGTTTAGAGTGATTGTAGGTGTTGGCAAGAGTAAAGTAATTTCTACAACAAATATTTATTGCAGGTCTATGCCAGGCACTGTTCTTAGTATATGGGTGGTACATTGGTGAGCCAGGCAGGCCCAGATCTCTGTGCTTGTGATGCTTACATATTCGCAGAGTAGAACAAAATAAACAGTAAATATAATGAATAGATTAGTTGAGAGGTGGGACAGATGAAACATGTAGAGCAGGGCAAAGAGAATAAGTAGGGCTGAGGGGAGCTGAGAGTTCACAATATGAAGTAGTATGGTCAGGGTGGGCAGGCCTCAGAGCCAGTGAGATGTGAGCAAAAGCTTGCAAAAGGTGAGGCAGTTAGCTAAGTGCATGCGCCAGGCAAAGCAGAAGGCCAGCTAGAGCAAAATCCTGAGGTGGAATGCATACCCAGGGTGATTTGGGAGTGGCCTGGAGGCCAGGGTGGTTGAGCAGAATGTTGTAGTAAGTGAAGTCAGAGAGGTGGTGGGGCCAGATTGAGAAGGGGCTTGTGAGCTGTGGTGAGGACTTTGACCTTTACTGTGAGTGAGGCAGAAGCCTTTGGGAGGGTTGTGAGCAGAGGAGGGACAGGATCCTCCTGATAGCTAGGGCAGCATGGAGCCTAGGGTTTAGGGCAAGAAGCAGGGAACCAGCGAGGTGTGGAGTCTTACCTCTAGTCCCAGTGGTGACGGATGGTGGATGGTGGTGCTGGCTAGGGAGGAATGAGGAAAGGGGATGGAGTCTGAATGTATTTTGAAGGTGGGGGTACGGGTTTCCTGCCAGATTGCCTGTAAGGATGTGAGGGTGGCGGGATTAAGAAGCTTACCTTTGTCCTGTGGTCTGCTGTGTGACCAGGAATGATGGTGGTCATCACAGCCAGGATTCCAGGAGGGAGCCAACCCTCAGGGATGGGGCAGAGGCAGCTCATGACTTGCGTTGGTCCTTTCCTCCTCCTCCTCCTCCTCTTTCTCCTCGTCGTCGTCCTCGTCGTCGTCGTCGTCCTCGTCGTCCTCGTCCTCCTCCTCGTCCTCCTCGTCGTCCTCCTCGTCCTCCTCGTCCTCCTCCTCCTCGTCCTCCTTCTCCTCCTCCTCCCCCCCACCCCTGCAGCCCCGGAAAGCCAGCGCCACATGCAGTTCTGCCACAGCAGCAGCCTCCAGTGGCCTGGAGGAGTGGACCAGCCGGTCCCCGCGGCAGCGGAGTTCAGCCTCTTCACCCGAGCATCCTGAGCTGCACGCCGAGCTGGGCATCAAGCCCCCTTCCCCAGGCACTGTCTTAGCTCTTGCCAAACCTCCTTCACCCTGTGCACCAGGTCAGTGACTTGGTGACTGGGGAAGCTGGGGTTAGGAAGTGCTGCCTAGGTTGTGGGCTCCACCTCTGACTGTCCCTCTGCCCCAGGTACAAGCAGCCAGTTCTCGGCAGGGGCCGACCGAGCTACTTCCCCCCTCGTGTCCCTGTACCCTGCTCTGGAGTGCCGGGCCCTCATTCAGCAGATGTCCCCCTCTGCCTTTGGTAAGCCTCCTCTATCTAGGGACCAGGGGCCAGCTGGGAGCTGGGGAGAGAGGGAAGAAGCAGCACATCCTGAGAGGGGGCTTTTGGAGCCTCTGGCCATCTCCCCAGGAAGACGGGAATTTTCAGGCCCAAAGGATGTGTCCAGAGGGAATCTGTGTGGGATTTCGTAGGCCTGGGGGAGGCTTCTTGTAGAGAAAGAAGCATAGAGGGACCTGGATGGGATTGCTCGAGCCAGGAATCAGCAAAGGGTAAGGAGAAGGTGGGCTGGGAGTGCTCCATCATCCTTTGCTCCTTCCTCTTGCCCAGCAGGTCTGAATGACTGGGATGATGATGAGATCCTAGCATCGGTGCTGGCAGTGTCCCAACAGGAATACCTAGACAGTATGAAGAAAAACAAAGTGCACAGAGATCCACCCCCAGACAAGAGTTGATGGAGACCCAGAGACTGGAGACCATCTCCCAAACCCCACCACTCCTGCCCTCCAGTGCCGCCCCACCTTTGGCTTTCTTCCCTCCTGCCTTCTTCCCTCTCTCCCCTCCTTTCCCTCCTCCCCACTTCCCTCTGGCTGGCCCACCCCTGCACCCCTTCTCATCGCTGCCACCACCACCATCACCTGTCTCTTCGCCAGCTGACGTGCCCTCTTGCCCCCTGCACAGCACCATCCCTGCATTCCACAGGGGACTTGGGCAAGGGTGCCGAAGGTAGGCGAGAGGCACAAAGAAACAAACCAACTGGCAGCCAGGCAGCCCCTGAGGAGAGACATTCAGACAGAGGAAAGTCTCCCTGCCCCCCATTCCTTCCAAGATCAGAAAAACTTGTCACCCCGCCTCCACAATGATGCTGGGGAGGTGGGAGGAAGAAGTGGGAATTCCCCTTCCCAGTACCCCAAGAATGTCTGAGCCTTCAATGTTGAATTTTTTTCTTTATTAAAATGTACTTTTATCTTATAAAATCAACCAATCCAAAATGATGTAGACAATAGCAGTGGCTCTGTGAAGGCGGCATCTCTGGTTTGGGAGCAGACAGGCCATGGGGACAGAGGGGGCACAAAGATGTGGTTACTGTCTCTTGCCTCCAGCTCTGTGGAGGTAGGCAGGGTCTAGAGTGCAAGCCGGGGTGGGGGCAGGGGGCAGGTGTCTTGTGGGCTTTGGACAATGAGACTCTTGACCTTGCTGCATTCCTACTGCTTCCACACCACTACCACTGCCACCACCACCACCACTATCACCACTACCACTACTACCACTGGGTCTCTTCGGAATCTTGGGGTGGGGGACACCTTTGAGGATGATGGCTGCTACCGCCCAGGATTTGAGCGTGGGGAGTGGGCACAGCCTCAGCAAATGGGACACCCGTGCCCTGCAGGTGTTGACAAGATCCACCATCTGTAATGTCCTTGGCACAATAAAACCAAATGTCAGTTTCCCCTGAGCGCCTCTGTTCTATGTGGGGCACAAGGTGGGTGGGCCTCTGGGCAGAAGTGGTGATGGCCTAGGCCTTGGCTTGACCTCTGAGGGCCGCATGCTCTCCAGTAAGTTCTGTCTGTGGGCCCAGAGTTTGTTCATATTTGATTCACTGCTTACTAAACCAACTTCTGGACCTGTTATTACCAAGAAAGCTCCATCTTTGCCTGCTGCCCCTGCCTCCGTTCTGTCACATGTAGCCTGCCCACCCTGTATCCTGGGTTGTGATGGGAGCAGAGGACTAGGAGCTTGAGGGCTGGGACCGAAGTTCCAATTTTACTGCCTGCCTCCTTCCCTATGTGTGTTTGCTTTTTCCTTGTGATATTTGATGTAGAAATGCTTTGGAAAGGCACAACGGATGCTTCATATCAACGTAAGTGTAGTGGAATTGACTGGAGGGGCCTCTCTGGTGTAAGGAATGGTTAAACCCTTTCTTGTTCATGTTCCCAGTCCTCTGACATCCATGCCCCTGCCTTTCCTTGGCGTACAACCAAGGCAGAGAAGGATGGCTGGCCCCCAGGTTTTGTCAAGAGTGTATATTGCTGTGCCTCACTAATGAGGCCCCTATTTAAGGATGCATGTCCAGCTCTGCCAGTGAAGGCATGGTGGCTGAGTGGCCATCTTGTGGGGTATCTGTGGAATCCACTGGTCAATCATCCAGATGTTGGAGAGTTGGTTTGGAACCCACCTTGTTTTTTTCTAGCTATGTGACCTTGGCCAAATCACAGGCTGAGTTTCAAGGGTCCCACCATGTGTACAACAGGAGTGATTAATGTCTACTACCTCATGCTCTCTCTGGTTGTGAGCATTGAGAGAGAATGCATGTGGTCAACATAAAATGTCTGATGGCATGGTGCCTGGCATGTTCTGAGAGCCCAAATGTTAGCAGATAGTATTTATTTACCTAATGTTGAAGTTTTTTACACCATCTGGTCCCTGCCTACCTCTTCTTGCTGCTCTCTCCAGTTTCATTGGCCCCTGCCTGGAATTTGCCCTTTCCATATCCTGAGCCCCCAACCTTGTCCTTCAAGATGGGTAGTGTCACCTTTTGAGAAGCCCTGTGTGACCCCATCCATATTCCCATCTCTATCCACAAATATGTCTTTACTCCTTCCCCAATAACTCTGTGATTCACTTCCTGGGCAAGGGCTGTGATGCCTAACTTAATCTGTGTATCTCTAATATCTGCACCCCTGCCAGGGCCTGGCAGGCTTACAGTAGACCCCTAATAAATATTGGATGAATAAGGGAGAGTATATGTGTGTATTTGCTTTCTGGGTGGTGTCTGTGTGTCTGTTTGACTTCGGTGAGTCTAAGTCTTCACATGCACCTCACAGTGTCACGTTGTGTGACAAGGGCTTGTTTCCAGGTGTGTCAGATGGTGACTGAGTGTGGGACTCTATCTCTGACAGTTTATGTCTGTTTCTAAGACAAGTGCATGTCTGCGTGGGTCTGTCTGTGACAGCGCATCTGTGGTTTCTTTCTGATAGGGTGAATGTCCGTTTGTATTCCTGTGACAGATTCTGGGTAGCTATTTCTGGACAGTTTCAGTGACAACACTGCATGTTTGCTGGTGTATGTGTGTGTCTGGGTCTATCCATGTCTGTTTTTGTGACAGTGCCTATCTATGGCTCTGTCGCATAATTACTTATGTCTGCCTTTGGAGCAGTACTTGTGTGTCTCTGGAGCATCTGTGTGTGTCCTGTGACAGACTCAAGGTCTCTCATTTCTGGGACAGTACAAATCTTCCTGTGACAGTGCATGTCTGATGGTGCCAGTATCTTCGTGACCAAGTTCTGGTGGTGTGCCTGACAAGATATTTCTGTGTCATCACATGGCAACATAGGTCCGTGTGTATCTCTCTGGAGTGCCTGTCTGTAACAGTGTTTCTCTGGGTGACATTCTGGGACATAAGTGGCAGCATGGCTGCCCAACAGTGGACGTCAGTCTCTGACAGTACATGTCTGCTGCATGTGTATCTAGGACAAGTTTACACGAATGTGTCTGTAGGTTCCATGTATATCACATGGTACTTTTGTGCGAGTCTTGAGTGCATCTCTTATCTTCCTGCGGGGTGAGGCTCAACTGTTTTTCCCAAATTTGTGACTAAGGGTATTTTACCACCTGCCTGAGCTCGTTCTGTCCCCATCTCTTGTCATTTGGAAGCATACCCCCAAGTTACTATCACTCTGACTTGCTAGCATCCCACCCCCACCTAAGGTCCACTTCCCTCTGCCATTCCAGGTTCTGGCCGTGCTGGGGGATTAGGCTCCTGGCTAGACGTGGCCAGGTCTGCCCAGGTTAAGGGCCCCAAAACACCCCATAAGCCTCCGCCTCAGGGCGTAGGAATGTTGTCTTTGGCCAGCGTCTCCCGCGGTGGTAGGGGGGCTCCCCCTCCCTGAAAGCTGGACAGGTTCTTCCAGGATCCCTGGCTTCAGTTTTGGGGCAAGGCTGCTGGTCTCCTTTTTGGAGACAGGGTCTTGAGTGGCTACAGGCCCGGATTCTTAGAAGCCTGGAGATAACTCTGTGCTAATCTCGAAGCAGTGGCTGCAAACCAACTTCTTAGGAAAGGAGGCGGTGCAGTTATTTTTTTAAGTTTATATCTATATATACACATACACACACATATATAAAAACAACCCCGCACAACAACCAAAACAAATGCGGTTGCTGGAAAGGGATTCCCAGAACCAGTTTCCTCTTCGGGTGCGCCCCCCACATTTGCATGCGGGCCCGGCCCCCGTGGAAGATCCGGGCACGTATTTGCATAAGGGGGGGTACTTGAAACGTTGAGGGTGGTATGCAAATAAGGACTGGCTCCGATTGGCTGCGGTACAGCAGGTGCCGCGTCCGGATTGATCAAAGCCAAGTGGGCGGGGCTGTCGCCCGGGGCGACTCTCTCGGGAGGCGCGTGCCCCGGCTCAGTAGCTTTGGGGCTGGCGCGCGCGTCGAATCTTAACGTTGTGCTGTTTGCGGGCGCTTTTGGGCCATCAGCTTCTTTGCCTTCCACCCTGGCGCCCCCAAGTCCTGGCTCCCCAGCCTCGCTACCCCGGGCGTCCACGCCCTGCGGGCTCAGCGGGCTCAATCTGCGCAGCACCACCTCCATGTTGACTAAGCCTCTGCAAGGGCTCCCCGTGGCCCCCGTGACCCCCACGCCGCCGCCAGGTGAGCAAGGCTCCCCTACCGCGACTAGGCCAGGCAGGCTGAATTGGTTGAGGGCGGCGGGGGGGGAGGGGGGAGAGGGTCGCGGCCGGGCTCTGCATGCAGCCACCCTGACTTCCTCGCCTCCGCCTGCGTAGGAGGCAAGGATCGCGAAGCGTTCGAGGCTGAGTACCGACTCGGCCCCCTTCTTGGTAAGGGGGGCTTTGGTACCGTCTTCGCAGGACATCGCGTCACAGATCGACTCCAGGTATCAACCACGAGAGTCTTGGGAGGGTCAGGGGTGTTGTGTGTCTGTGCGTCCTTGTGTGTGCGTGTGTGTGGCGGGGGCGGGAGTCCCGGGCTGGGATGCTGATTGACCAGGGGATGAGCCGACAATGTGTGCGTGGTAGGGTCATGAGGACCGGGATCCGGGTTGATGGGGGTGCCCGAGCACGCGCACGTGCGCGCGCTTGTTTGTGTGGCGATCCAGGTGGGTATATGGGGCGGGGGGTTCAGGGCAGGGATTCTAAAAGTCCAGGAAGTGAGACTGAGGAGTGGGGGTCGTAAGGACTCTAGACCCTGGGATCCAGGGGATGTGTATCTGTGTGGGAAGGTGGAGGCCTAGAGCTGAGATTTGGCGGATTTCAAGGGCAGGTGTCCAGCGTGGAGTCCTGAGGACCAGGACCCCGGTACAGAGTTGGGGGGGGTCTTGGAGCTGGATGGGAAGATCAAGGGCTTCGAGTATTAGGAAATTCAGAACTCAGGACCTGGAGTGAGGGGTTCTGAATCCTGAAAAGGGAGAACTCAGGGCCAAGGATGATGGGAGAGGTGAACTTGGTTCTGGGGACTTGGAGGCCAGGGAAGAAGCTCCAGCTCATTTTGGGTTGCGGTGTGGGGAGGTTGGGACCAGAAAGCCTAGGGTGAGGGTCAAGACTGGGAGGGGCCTGGGGGTCGTCTGCTGGCCCCCTCACCTCAGCCCTTTTCTCCAGGTGGCCATCAAAGTGATCCCCCGGAATCGTGTGTTGGGCTGGTCCCCCTTGGTGAGTGTCTTTGGAGTCCCTGACCTGGCGACGCCATCCCTGAAGATGGACTCACCCCCCACCACCACCACCACTTGCCTTTCTAGGGCTTGTATGATTCCGTGGGCCCTGTAACGGTGTGGAGAACACTCCTACCAGCCTGTGTTTACTCCCCTGTAGTGACATCCACACCTCCATACAGTTCTGACTCACCCCAGCTCCCCTAGGGCCCTTGGATTCTCCCCCTCCAACCCTCCTTTCTCCTCTTCCGTCCAAACACTGCTTCAGGGGCTGCCCGCAGGGCATGCTGGTGGGGGAAGAGGGGCAGAGGTCACTGGTTGCCATGGTGACGGTGGCTGCTTCTTTTCGGCCGTTAGAACGCTAACGGACAACAGGGCGGGTCTGGGCAAGTTGTAGGGGCGGGAGCGCCCCCTGGCGGACTCTGCGGGAGAATGCGCCTGCGCAGGCTGTGGGACCCGAAGGGAGAAGGTTCGCCTGCGCAGTAGCGGAATTTTCATCACCGTGAGAAAACCTGTCTGCAGCTATGCATGTCAGAGAACTGGCCAGGAGAGGGCCCCACCTCAGTCAGGAAAGCTAATTCTGGCTTGTCCGTGGGCCCACTTCTAGCATGGGGTGGCTTTTGTGGCCTAGCATTTCTGCCTTTTTTGAGCACTGTGTGTCTCCAGTTTTGCTTCATCATCAAAGGTTACTGTGTTCCATGTCCCACTAAGTGCTTGCATTCAACACAGTTCTAGATGACAGTGACAGTTTTCTAGTTTAGTGACAGTGACAAAACACATGATAGTATTATTGAGTTCTTTGTTCCTTTGCAATTAATCACTTTCAGATATTTAAGAAATGTATATTGAGCACCTACTATGTGCCAGGCACAATTTTAGGCATTTGGCAAAATATTACATTTATTGAGAGCTCATTTTGTGCCAAGTCCTTTTCTATTCATTGCTTTTACCTATTTAATAATATGTATGAAGCCCGACCCTGTTACCACGCAGTGTTATAGTCAGTGACAAAACACAAACCATTATACAATAGTATTTACTGCTTGCTAACTCTGTGCCAGACCGTGCTATAAAGTGCTTTCAACTGTTTAACATTTATTGAGCACCTACTATATGTAAAGCACTGTTCTAATCTCTTCTAAGATGCCAGTGAACAAAAGATACATTATTACATAATAGTGTTCATCAGTTGCATCTTCAGCAGAAGGCCTTTTATTTATTTTTTTTAATATATTTTTTAAATTTTTTTATTTATTTATGATAGTCACAGAGAGAGAGAGAGAGAGAGAGAGAGAGGCAGAGACACAGGCAGAGGGAGAAGCAGGCTCCATGCACCGGGAGCCCGACGTGGGATTCGATCCCGGGTCTCCAGGATCGTGCCCTGGGCCAAAGGCAGGCGCTAAACCGCTGCGCCACCCAAGGATCCCCCAGAAGGCCTTTTATTAACCAAAAACAGATTTATTCATTTCAGAGAGAGCACATGCATGCGAGAGTGGGGGGAGGGGCAGAGGCAGAGGGAGAGAACATCTCAAGCAGACTCCTGTGGAGCTGAGCACAGAGCCCAGTGTGGGGCTTGATCCCAGGACCCATGAGATTACCACCTGAGCTGAAACCAAGAGCTGGATGCTCAACAGGGAGCCACCCAGGTGCCCCAAGAAGGCCTTTTTAAAAGAACTACTTTCATTTACTCAAACATTTACTGAGCTCCTATCTATAATATGCCAGATATGCATAGGCTTTGGCTCAAAGCACCTTTCCAGGGGCTATGTTTGAGCCCTTCAGACGAAGAAACTGAGAGGCTCAGGTAAGGGAAGTGGGTTGCTGAAGGCCACACAGGAGCATGATGGGCTTTGATGTAAGTTCAGGCAAGAAGTCAGCCTCAGAGTTGCTGGCCTGATGTCTGTGTTCTCTTTTCTCCCCCCCTCCCCCCACAGTCAGACTCAGTTACATGCCCCCTGGAAGTGGCTTTGCTATGGAAGGTGGGTGCAGGTGGTGGGCACCCTGGCGTGATCCGCCTGCTTGACTGGTTTGAGACACCAGAAGGCTTTATGCTAGTCCTCGAACGGCCCTTGCCTGCCCAGGATCTCTTTGACTACATCACAGAGCAGGGCCCATTAGGTGAAGGCCGAAGCCGCTGCCTGTTTGCTCAGGTAGTGGCAGCTGTTCGCCACTGCCATGCTCGTGGAGTTGTCCATCGTGATATCAAGGATGAGAACATCCTGATGGACCTCCGCCGGGGCTGTGCCAAACTGATTGATTTTGGTTCCGGTGCCCTGCTTCATGATGAACCCTATACTGATTTTGATGGTAAGTCTTCCCTAAATCTCAAGTGTGGGGGGGTTACCTTTTATCTTTATGGTCTCTGGATCTTTAACATCTAGTGCTGGGGTGGCCTGTGCTCCTTGATCTATATTGCACCTTTATAAATTTCTTGTGTTTTATGAGTTTTAATACTGGGGACTCTCAAGCCTTGTCCATCTTCTGACAGTGCCCAGACCTGGTGAAGGGGGTGTGTTATTATCCAGAATGTTCCTTTTCTGTCTGGTAAAGGGATCCTTTGTTACTTGTAAGGGCTTTTTTTTTCTGTTGAGGGGACTCTGTTGTTATAGTTAAAGAACTCCTATTCTGGTGAGGGGACCCTGCTTAGATAGTGAGTTCTCTTAATTCAGGCAAGGGGATCATGCTTCCTGGGGAGGGTGGGGTGGGAGAAGGGCATTAGCAGAGAGTGGTCTAATCTCTGTCTTGTGTGCAGGGACAAGGGTGTACAGCCCCCCAGAGTGGATCTCTCGTCATCAGTACCATGCACTCCCAGCTACTGTCTGGTCACTGGGTATCCTCCTCTATGACATGGTGTGTGGGGACATTCCGTTTGAGAGGGACCAGGAGATTCTGGAGGCTGAGCTCCACTTCCCTGCCCATGTCTCCCCAGGTGAGGCCTTCACCAGTCCTAGCTCAGTAGATGCCATTCTTCCCAGGGTCTAGTGCCCCCAACTGACTGCTAATCTCCTATGCTTCTGATCTGCAGACTGCTGTGCCCTAATCCGCCGGTGCCTGGCCCCCAAACCCTCTGCCCGACCCTCACTGGAGGAGATACTGCTGGACCCCTGGATGCAGACCCCAGCTGAGGATGCACCCCTCAATACCCCCAAGGGGGGTCCCACCCCTTTGGCCTGGTCCCTGCTGCCCTAGTCCTAGCCAGGCCCCCCACTAGTTGGAACAGCCGTCCCATGGCATGCCACAGGGATAGATGGACATCTGTTGACCTGGTTATACAGGTCATTAAAAATCCAGTGTTACTAGGGTCAAAGATTGGGGATCAGGGGTCAGGAGACATAAGCCAAGTCTGCCCACTCCCCATCCCAATCCTGCTAAGGAGCCTTCCTCCCAGAATTTATGGTCTCTTATTCTGGAGGGGGCGGGGCTTCCTTGTTTCTCATTTTGCTAAGGGTGTTTATTTGGTTGAAGTTCCTTCCATTCTGAGCCCCAGGACTCCTATTCTGATGAGTTGTAACCCCTACACTGGCACCTCCTGCTACCACCACACACACTTAGTTCAAATGCTCTCACTTGGGCAAGGGTGCTTTCCTTCCAATGCCCCAGCAGCTCTTACTTTAGCAAAGGGACCCATTCCCCCTAGCCCAGGGTCCTATATTCAGTCAAGCTGCTTGCCTACCTCAGCCCAGGGTTGCTTATTCTGGGAGAGGTAATGCCCTATTGTTTTTCCAGGATTTTTTTTAATTATTTTTTATTATTTTTATTATTTTTTATTTTTATTTTTTGGTGAGGGGACCCTACTCTGTTATCCCAAGTGCTCTTATTCTGGTGAGGAGAACCCTACTTCCATGATTTGGGAAGGAATGGGAGATGGACACCACCAGAGTCCGCTAGGATGGGGTAGATGGTTTTTTGGGGGATGGGGTGGGGGAAATAAGTCTTGTCGTTTGTTCTCCTGGGGCTCCCCCTCTCCATCTTTTTCGGATTCTTGCTGCCTCCTTCTGAGCCTGGATTATCCAGTTGCTGAAATGTAAATACTTATGTATTGGTGGGAAGGGAGCTCCAACTGTGTCCTCCTCTTCCTTCTCCCCCTGCCTGGATTATTTAAAAAGCCATGTGTGGAAACCCACTATTTAATAAATGTTATAGAATCAGAGTGACTGGCCATTTGTAAATTAAGCAATGAAACCCACTATTTGATAGATGTAATAGAACCAGAAGCAAATGGCCATTTGTAGATGGAGTGAGGCAATTATGGAGCATCTACTGTGTGCTGAGCCATGAGCAAGGTGGGCTGGATCTCTCCTCTGCCCTTGGGAAGCCTTAGCCTTGTGGTACTGTCCTAAAGCTCTTTTATGGGTTCAGTTAAGCATGACCACAAAGAAAACCTTGATTTCCCCCATTCCAGCTCTTACGTAGCTCCCAGGATGTGCAGAAGGGCACCGTGGAGATACTATAGACACTGAAGATGTTGGAGACCTGTCCCCAGTCAAAGATGGCTTGTCTGGACAGAGAAAACTGCCCCCCTCCATTCCAGGGGAGGAAAATAAAGCCCTCTCCCACAGGGAAAAAAAGACCTTTAGGGTCACGGGGGGGGGGCGGGGTTGGACACTGACAAAAGCCTTCCCTGCCCTTCCTCGTTTCCCAATAACATCCTGAGTGTAAGCCATGCGTTTTGCCCCTACCTTTTCACCTCTCCCTGGTCTTGTTCATCCCTCTCATCTCCTTCCTCGCTTCTCCACATACCTGCCCTGACATCAGCTGTACCCTCTCTTTCCCCGCTTTAAGATTTTATTTACCTATTCATGAGAGAGGTAGAGGGAGAAGCAGGCTCCATGCGGGGTGGGACTAGATTCTGGGACTCCCAGGATCACGCCCTGAGCCAAAAACAGACGCTCAACCGCTGAGCCCCGCAGGCGTCCCTCTTGCCCCGCTTTCAAAAGCTAAGCTGAAAGCCCCTCACCTGGTGGCTTACTGTCCCCTTCGCAGTTTCCCTCCACAGTGGGAACTCGCTTATCCTCCCTACTCTCCGTCTCAGTCTCACTTCTATGCCTTCTCACCTGTGCGGCCCCAAAGGCTCTGCTGGCTTAGGCTCCCTTAACTGCCAGACCCTCACCTGCCCCGCCCCCTCAGTCTGTTTCCTCCCAGACGCCCGCGGGCTCTCTAAGGGGTGGGGCTTCACTGGGAGGTGGGGGAAAGAGGAACTTCGGTCCAATCACAAAGGTACCCAGGAGTTTGGGTGCGGAAAGGGCGGGATCATCTGTAGAAGGTGCCAATGAGGAGCCGAGATAGATGAGAATTCGCTGAACCAATGAGACAAGGACACACGATGGGCGGGCAATCTGGAAAGCGGAATCAATGAAGACGAAGGCGGGTCTAGTAACTGGAAGGAACCAATGAGGCTCGGTAGAGACGGCAGGAGGCCGAGGCGGTCACTAGTCGGGTTTCCCCATCCCAACGAAATCTGGAAATCCCAAGGCTGCGGTCTTAGACTCACTGTTGGGGAGCGGACGAGGAGAGCTACTGCTCTGGCCAGCCCTTCACTCTCCCCATCTCCATCACGGAGGCCGGAAGTGGAAGTGACGGACACGGAAGTGCCCTGCTGTTGCCGAGGGGACGGACCAGGCAGATGCCAACATGGCAGCGGTGGGGTCCGGCGGTTCCACCGCGGCGGCTGGGCCAGGGGCGGTTTCCGCGGGGGCGTTGGAGCCTGGAACCGCTAGTGCGGGTGAGACAGGCTGTGGTCGACCCGGCGGCGGCGGGGCGAGGGTCAGGATCGCTGAGGGGTCAGGAAGGTTCCTCACTGAAGCGAGAGGGAGCATCCCGTATGGACCGACCTATGTGTGTATGTAGCGGGGGGTTGGGGAGGGAGGACGGAATGGCTATTGTGAGTGTGTTGGAAAGCGGAGAAGAGACCTTTCTGAGGGTGATGGGAGGGTCCCTTTTGCATATGGACAGTAGAGATCATTCTGAGTCTGGGGGGTTTTAGCCTTTGGGGGAGGCTAAGACCACTAAGACCATTCTGAGTGTGTAGGGGGTCCGTCCTTAGAGCAGGGAGAGAGCATTTTGAGGTTGGGAACGTTGTTCCTTCTAGAAGAGAGAGGCTATTCTGAGGGTGGTGGTTTCTTCTTATAAAGGGATAGGGGCTATTGTGAATTAGTGTGGGGCAGGTCCTTCCTTACCTGACTTAGAGGTCCATTTTGAGGATTGGGATGTCCATTATAAGGAGAGAAGACCATTCTGGGGGGTTCCTTCCTCATCCAGTAAGAGTTCCTTGTATATTGGAGTGGGAGGATCCTTCCTTATATGGCAGAGAAAAGACATTCTAAGGGTGTGGAGCCCTTCTTTATAGCAGGGAGAGTTTGTTGTGAGTGTGAGTTGAACAAGGAATGATTCCTTGGCTGGAGGTAGGAGCGGTGTGGTGGTGGGAGGATGACAGGACCATGTGGAGTACAGGGGAATATTTCCTTATGTCCTCGAGGGAACCAGACCGTGCTTGGTGCAGTAACCATTTATTATATGGAGTTCAATCCTAGAGACTGTGGAGGAATTATTTCTTATGTTTGTGAAACCATTCTGGGTCAGGAGGACTCTGGTGGTCATAGAAGGTAGGGGTTGGAGAGATAACTCTTAGTGTGAGGGAATGGAATAGTATCTTAGATGGGAGAAAGACCATTCTTTAGGGGCTGGACATGCCTTATACCATGGTCTCATTCCCTGTATTCAGGTATTATTCTTTACATAGGACAACCCCTCATTAAAAAGAAGCATCATCTCATATAAACTTTCAGTTTGTTCACCCACAGAATGGAATCCTTGTAGCCCACTCAGAGATCAGAGCAGTGTAGGGGTCTACTGAGGTAATCCATATAAATCCTTTACCCCAGTGATAGACAGATGGTCAGCACTCAATAAATGTTGAGAATATTATTGGTATTCTGTGAGTTGCTTCTCACACAGAGGAGGGAGAGAGGGGGCCAAGTGTGTCCAGCACCTGCTCCAGCCATTTCCTGATAGCTCAGCAAGGATTCCGGGTATGGGCTGGACAGGGTGAGGCCTACTTCCCCCTTTGTGGCTCTTCTGCCTGTTGAAGCAGTGGAAGTAGATGGGATTCAGACCCCATTGGGTCAGGATAGGGAGGCAGAGTGAGGAAGTGGCAATGGCTAGGAGGATCCTGGTTGAGAAAAGAGTGAAGGGGAAGGTGGTGGTGTGGCTGTGCCCCAGCATCTTCTGACCCCTTCTTCCTCCTTGCTCATTCCATTTCCCACAGCTCACCGGCGCCTCAAATACATATCCCTAGCTGTGCTGGTGGTCCAGAATGCCTCCCTCATCCTCAGCATCCGCTACGCCCGCACACTGCCTGGGGACCGCTTCTTTGCCACCACTGCTGTGGTCATGGCCGAAGTGCTCAAAGGTCTCACCTGCCTGCTGCTGCTCTTCGCACAAAAGAGGGGTATGAGACAGCAAGGGGAGAGGGCTGCACTGGAGTCAGTGGGTGGGACTGTGTGTGTGTGTGTGTGTGTGTGTGTGTGTGTACCCATGCCCATATGGAGGATTTGCTGGGGGAATATCACTATATCACTGTGTCTCTGAAACCACCTGGGGAGTGTGTAAGTGCAGCTCATCTGCCTTATCACTCCAGCTATGAGTAGCTGCATCCACACTTTTATTGTACTCCTAACATCTGGGAGCTGGCCTCTGTGGACTGTAGGAGTGAGACAATTTGTGTCCATAAGGTAGTAGGGGATACTTAGGTTCATTTATTTCCCTTTAACTTTGCATTTTGGATAACTTTAAATATACACAAACTCGGAGAGAATAATAAAATATTAAAATGTTCATGTACCCATCACCCAGATTCATCAATTGTCAACTCATGGCCACTCTGCCATTAACAGCATCAGTGATTATCCACTCCTCTACACTGAGTAGATGTACACTCAATCTACATGTCTGCCTACCTATCCACCCCTTGCCTTATTACACTGCAGTATGTCCCACATGTAGTAAGTATTATTTTGAAGTAAATCCCCCACCCTCTTACTATCAAAATATTTTGGTACATTAAAAAATAACCACAATATCTAAAAATCATACATCAAAAAATTAACAGTAATTCTTAAAATTAACAAAATATTCAAATATCCAGTCATTTAATCAGATTTACAATGCTTTCTCAAATATCATAAGAATTTTTAAGAATTTTGGGGACGCCTGGGTGGCTCAGCAGTTGAGTGCATCTGCCTTTGGCACAGGGTGTGATCCTGGAGTGCCGGGATCGAGTCTCACATTGGGCTTCCTACATGGAGCCTGCCTCTCCCTCTGCCTATGTCTCTGCCTTTCTGTGTCTCGCATGAATAAAAAAAGAATTTTTAAGAGTTTGTTTCAATCAGGTTTATATAAGGTCAGTGTCTTGTAATTCATTATGGCTTCTAGGTCTGTTAACCTCAGGGGTTCCCACCCAGCTCTTTTTTTTTAAGATTTTATTTGTTTGTTCATGAGAGACACACAGGCAGAGGGAGAAGCAGGCTCCCCCCAGGATCACACCTTGAGCCAAAGGCAGATGCTCAACCACTGAGCCACCCAGGCACCCCTTCTCTAACTCTTTTTTATCTGTAGTAAATTTGTTGAAGAGAGCAGGTCGTTTGTCTTGTATATTTTGGGTAGCTTGGATTTTGCTGGCTGCCTCCCTGTGGTATCATTTAACATGTTCTTCTACCCCCTGTATTTCCTATAAGTTTGATTTTATCTACTAGTTTAAACACCTTCCTAAAGGCCAGCTTTAAAATGTTGCCAGTTGTTTCTCTATAAAGGCGCCTGGGTGGTTCATTTGGTTAAGCATCAGACTCTTGATTTCAGCTCAGGTCATGATTTCAGGGCTGTGGGATCGAGCTCCATGTTGGCTCTTTACTCAGCAGCAGGGAGTCTGCTAGAGATCCTCTCCCTCTGCCCCTGCCCTCCACTTGCGCTTGCACACTCCCTCTCTAATAAAGAAACCTTTGGGATCCCTGGATGGCTCAGTGGTTTAGTGCCTGCCTTTGGCCCAAGGCATGGTCCTGGAGTCCCAGGATCGAGTCCCACATCAGGCTTCCTGCATGGAGCCTGCTTCTCTCTCTGCCTGTGTCTCTGCCTCTCTGTCTGTGTCTCTCATGAATAAATAAATAAAATCTTTAAAAAAATAATAAAGAAATCTTCAAAAAATAAAGGCCTTGCCTGTGTAGAGATTGCAGGTGTACATTCTAGCTCTGCTGTCAGTATTTACACTGAAGAAAACATTTTCTTTAATTTTTAAAAGATTTTATTTATTTATTTGAGAGAGAAGGAGAGCACAAACAGGGAGGGAGAGAGAGAAAACAGGCTCCCTGCAAAACAGGGAGCTCGACACAGGGCTCGATCCTAGGAACCCGGGATCAGGACCCAAGCTTAAGGGGCACCCAACCAACTGAGCCACCCAGGCACCCTAAGAAACCTTTTTTTAAGACTTTATTTAACAGCACAAGCAGGAGGAGTGGCAGGCAGAGGGAGACGGAGAAGCAGGTTTCCCGCCAGGCAGGAAGCCCAGTGTGGGGCTCGATCCCAGGACCCCAGGATCATGATGTGAGCTGAAGGCAGATGCTTAACCAACTGAGCCACCAGGTATCTCTGAAGAAAACATTCTTTCCCATTCATTAGCTCCATGTGGCCCTGGGAGGCAGCAGTTTGGAAATTCACCTGTTCTTTTTTTTTAATTTTTATTTATTTATGATAGTCACAGAGAGAGAGAGAGAGAGAGAGAGAGAGAGAGGCAGAGACACAGGCAGAGGGAGAAGCAGGCTCCATGCACTGGGAGCCCGATGTGGGACTCGATCCCGTGTCTTCAGGATCGTGCCCTGGGCCAAAGGCAGGTGCCAAACCGCTGTGCCACCCAGGGATCCCCCCCTTTCTTTTTTAATTGAAGTATAGTTGACATATACAGTTAACCCTTGAACAACATGGGTTAAACTGTGCAGGTCCACTTAGATGCAGGTTTTTTTTTTAAGATTTTATTTATTCATGAGAGAGAGAGAGAGAGAGAGAGAGAGAGGCAGAGACACAAGCAGAGGGAGAAGCAGGCCCCATGCAGGGAGCCCGATGTGGGATTCGATCCCGGGACTCCAGGATCACGCCCTGGGCCAAAGGCAGGCGCCAAACTGCTGAGCCACCCAGGGATCCCAAGATGCAGGTTTTTTTCTAATAAATACAGTACAGTACTAAAAATGTATTTTCCTCATGCTTTTCTTTTTCTCTGGTGTACTTTATTATAGGAACACAGCATATAATACATATACAAAATACATATTAATGAACTGTTTATATTATCAGTAAGGCTTTCAGTCACTAGGAGGCTATTAGGAGTTAAGTCTGGGAGTGAGGGGTATCAAAAGTTCTATGTGGATTTTTAACTGTGTGGGGGAGTCAGTGCCCTAACTCTTGTTCAAGGGTCACCTATAATATTAGTTTCAAGTATACAACATCGTGCTGGAACAATTCTTTACATTACACAGTGCTCACCACGATCAGCGTAGTCCTCATACAAAGTTGTTACCATATTACTGGCTGTGTTCCCTATGCTGTACTTTCCATCTCTGTGACTAACTTGTTTTTATAACTAGAAGTTTGTACCTTTTCACCCCCTTCACCTATTTCACCCATCTCCCAACTGGCAAGCACAGTTCTCTAGGAGTCTATTTTTGTTGTTTGTTTTGTTTTTAAATTTATTTTATTTAGATTTTATTTATTTATTCACAAGAGACACACAGAGAGAAAGAGGCAGAGACATAGGCAGAGGGAGGAGAAGCAGGCTCTATGCAGGGAGCCCGATATGGGACTTGATCCTGGAACTCCAGGATCATGCCTTGGGCCGAAGGCAGACGCTCAACCGCTAAGCCACCCAGGCATCCCTGTTTGCTTTGTTTTTTAGATTCCACAAGTCAGTGAAATCATTTGCCTTTTTGGGTCTGACTTCTTTCACTTAGCGTAATGCCCTCAAGGTCCATCATCTGCTCTGTGTTTTTTTTTAAGATTTTATTTATTTATTCATGAGAGGCAGAGACAAAGGCAGAAGGAGAAGCAAGCTCCCTGTGGAGCCCAATGTGGGACTCCATCCCAGGACCCCGGGATCACTTGAGCTGAAGGCAGATGATAACCATTGAGCCACCCAGGTGCCCCCTATCTTTTTTTAAATCTTCTCTGCTATCAATTGATTCTGAGACACTTTCCAGTGCCCACTGTGGCAGGCCCTGCTCCGGCCATAGAGGCTGCATCCTGCCCACAGAGGGCTGATATTTTACGTGAGGAGAAACAAATAAGCACAGACTTAATCGCAGGCCTTTGCCTCTAATCTACAATTTCAACCCCTCCCCCATGTTTTTTTTTTCCTGATTTAGTTTTGTGGTAAAACTTGGCCTGACCTAACGTAGGGCTATTTGTATATAGGTGGTTTTTAATTTTTCTCATTTGGTGTGAACATTTACCCAGGTTGCCACAGAAATAGGAATGTGTGTGATTATGGTGCACAGCCCTATGCGTGTGGCATGTGTTAATGTGAAGTGCATGCTAGATACACCATGTTACCTTCCTAACACTTAGAAAATGTCAAACACCCAAATCCCTGGGCCCAGAGGATTTGGGTAAGGGGTTCGAGAGTGGTAATTACTCCTGGGATTAATGCTATGAAAGGTAAGGACAGGGTTTTGTGAACGAGCCCTCAGCATGAGTTCCTGTGATAACCTTGTGCAGTGGTTGTGGGGTTTTCACAGAGGAACAACACTCACTGAGACTTAAAAGATGAACTGCAAAGAAGTGGGTTGAGATTTGCAGAGGCCTTACTCCTCAGGAGGGTGTTCTCATGTGTTGGTGGGAGCAGGTCCCAGCCAGACTTTTCTGCTTAATATAGTCAAGCTTCCAGGGACACCTGAGTGGCTCAGTAGTTGAGTGCCTTTGGCTCAGGTCGTGATCCCAGGGTCCTAGGATTGAGTCTCACCTTGGGCTCCCTGCAGGGAGCCTGCTTCTCCCTCTGCCTGTGTCTGACTCACTGTATCTCTCATGAATAAATAAAATATTTAAAAAAAATAGTCAAGCTTCCACTCTTCCATATGGCAAGGACAGACATTTCACTTGTTTGTAGGGCTGACAGGGATGTGCATCCGAATGGGATATGGTCCCTGCCCTCAGGAAGCTCTTAGGCCAGTTAAAGAGCTAGGATAAGTGTAAAAGTTGAGTCTCAAACCTCCCATCTGGTCAGCAGGCTTGCTAAGGCTTCTACCTCACGAGCTAGCTAATGCTGACTATTTCACTGGACATACACATGTATTGAGTGCTTGCCCCGAATGGGACACTGCCAGGGAGGTGGGCTGTATGCTGTGTGAATACAGTCCGTGATTCTCAGACACAGAGTTAAGGACGATTGGTATCCGTTAAACTGAGAGCTGAAAGGTCTCCCAGAGCTGCAGTTGTACTGCAGGGAAACTGAGAGTGCAGACCTCCTCTGAGTCCCTGGGAGGTCAGGGCAGGGGTGAGGAGACACAGGAGTAGGCCCGGTCCTGGCCCTCAGAGGATCTGCAGCACTAAAGGGAGGCTGTCCTTCCCCCCACGTAGGTAACGTGAAGCACCTGGCACTCTTCCTGCATGAGGCTGTCCTGGTGCAGTATGTGGATACACTCAAGCTCGCAGTGCCCTCCCTCATCTACACCCTGCAGAATAACCTCCAGTACGTGGCCATCTCCAACCTGCCAGCTGCCACGTTCCAGGTGAGCCCCAGGCCCAGCACAGCCTTTGGCAGAACTGGCTGGGATGGGGGAGATGTGATGCTGGTGAGGGAGGGTTGCAGAGGGCATGATCTGTGTCACCTTTGCCACACTCTCGGTGTCTTCATCCATGAGAACTGGGAATGGGAATGCCTCCATACCAGGATGCTGGGACAGCTGAAAGAAATAATCCCCGGGAAGAACCCTTGGTTGGCATTGGTGAGCTTTTGGCTGTTTGCAGGTGGCCCTGGAACACGGTTAAAGAGTCTATACTCTGGAGCCAGGCTCTCTGGGTTCAAATCCCACCTCTGCTACTTTCCAGCTGTGTGCTCTTTGGGCAAGTTGCATAACCCCTCTGTGGCTTCTCATTCTTCCATTGCATGTTACAATAGTATCTGCTTCATAAGTGAGAGCACTAAATGAAAGGATTCATATGAAGTGCTCAGACCCACACTGGCACAAAAGCAAGCACTGTGTAAATGTGTGCCAACATTATCGTTGTGGCTGATTTGTTTCCATTAGTACATATTTATCAAGACACGCACACATGCGTGCGTGTGCCTCATCAAGGAGCCAGTCACTCCGTCATTAACCTACTGCATAAGCTGGTTCACACACAACAGCTGTATTTTACAGATGATAATGTCTGGGCCGACATGGTCCAAGTGCTTCATTCCTTATCACACAGCCAGAAAATTTGGAGGGGTGGACTCAGGTGTGGCCCAGGACTTCCTTGCCTAGCTGTGGACTTTCTGGGAGGCAGCTCAGAGCTGTTTAGTGTCACTGGCCTGTCAGTCAGTGGCCAATGGCTGGATCTTTTTTTTTTTTTTTTAAGATTTTATTTATTTGAGAGAAAGAGTGAGAGCACGAGCAGGGAGCCCAACTTGGGGCTTGATACCAGGACTCCAGGATCATGAACCAAGCCAAAGGCAGATGCCCACTTGCCTGAGCCACCCAGGCACCCCTGGCTGGCTGTTCTTGTCACCTGCCCTGCCCCATCCCTCCCCCTGGGCACGTGGGGTGGGGAGGTGGGGAACAGCCCCTAAGTGCCTTCCGCATTGGTGGCCCGCCCCCCTGCAGGTGACGTACCAGCTGAAGATCCTGACCACGGCGCTGTTCTCCGTGCTCATGCTGAACCGCAGCCTCTCCCGGCTGCAGTGGGCCTCCCTGTTGCTCCTCTTCACTGGAGTTGCCATTGTCCAGGCACAGCAAGCTGGTGGTGGGGGCCCTCGGCCACTGGATCAGAACCCCGGGGCAGGCCTTGCAGCCGTCGTGGCCTCGTGTCTGTCCTCAGGCTTCGCGGGCGTCTACTTTGAGAAGATCCTCAAGGGCAGCTCGGGCTCGGTGTGGCTCCGCAACCTGCAACTGGGCCTCTTTGGCACGGCACTGGGCCTGGTAGGGCTTTGGTGGGCTGAGGGCACAGCCGTAGCCCGCCGCGGCTTCTTTTTTGGGTACACACCTGCCGTCTGGGGCGTGGTATTCAATCAGGCCTTTGGCGGGCTGCTGGTGGCTGTTGTCGTCAAGTACGCCGACAACATCCTCAAGGGCTTTGCCACCTCCCTGTCCATTGTGCTGTCCACTGTTGCCTCCATCCGCCTCTTTGGCTTCCACGTGGACCCATTGTTTGCCCTGGGCGCGGGGCTGGTCATCGGTGCGGTCTACCTCTACAGCCTTCCCCGAGGCACCGCCAAAGCCATAGCCTCCACCTCCGCCTCAGCCTCGGCCTCCACCTCTGGGCCCTGCACTCACCAGCAGCCTCCCGGGCAGCCGCCGCCACCCAAGCTGTCTTCCCATCGCGCAGACCTCAGCACGGAGCCCTTTCTGCCGAAGTCAGTGCTGGTGAAGTGAGGGTTGGTGGTGGTGGGGGGCCACAGGGAGGGGGACTGGGTGGAGGGTGTTGGGCATCCAGAGGGACTTAAGCTGCCACTGGGCCTGGCTCCTCTGGAATTGGAAGTGTTTTCTCCCAGGTCATGGAGACTTCTGCAGGGGCTTTGGAGCAGGTGTGGGGCATCACACAAACCCTTCCTTGTAGACTGAGCCCCCTTCCCCTGGAGGGGGATCATGAGAGCTGCCTCCTCGGCCCCAGTGAACTGCTTTGGGGACTGGGTTGGCAGTATTGTCGTTCAAGGCCTTTCTTTGCCTGCCTGCCCTCAGCTGGAGGTGTCCTGTCTTCCACGCTCTCTCGGGAGAGCCCCTCCCAGCGGTCCCTCCTCCCCCTTTGTAAGGACAAATTGGACAAAAATTCTACAGCTCTTTAGCAATGGATGCCTACCTGTGGGGTTCCGCTTCCTGTAGCTTGAGGCCTTTTTGCCTCCCTCACAACCACAAGGGACCAGACCCTATTAGCAGCCCGGTCTTTTTTGTATGTGGCCTTGGGGCAGCTTTCCTGATGGGAGACCCCTGAAAATGGGCCTGTGAGCACCCCGGAGTTGGGGGAGGGGGGCGGGTGGAGAGGAAGAGGAAGGAAGGGGTGGGAATTAAGATGTTCTGCATCAGCCTGGTCCAGGGGAGGGTGCGGTAGGGGCATCTGTTTTTTAATGGTTTGGGAATTTGTGGTATAATCAGATAATGAATGATCCAGGGTGTGGGAAAAGCCGGTGGGGGAGGTCCTTGGAGTGGCTGAATCTCATTGAATCTAAGACACTGTCAGTTGCCGGATGCAGGGTTCTTGTCTGAGACAGCCCAAGAGGGAAAATAAAGCTGCCAATCACACTGTTGATACACACTAGCTAGCTGTATGAGGCACCCTGTCACAGGGTGAGGGTGTCTTCAAATGCTGAAATGTGGAACCTGTCCCCTGCACTCCCCAAAGCTTATTAACCCCTTAACCGTCTCCCAGGATGTGTGTGTACGTGTGCGTGTGCATGTGTGCATCTATATCTACGCACGCGCAAGAGATGCCTGGGCTGTCTTTGCTCTATGTACATAGGGTCGTTGGATCTTTATTTTTAATTAATTTGTTCTGATTTTTCTGGTTTGTTTTCTAAGGAACTGTAATGAACAAATATCAGGAGACCCAATGCCAAATAAAGATGTTGTATTTATTTAGTCCACGTGTAGCTTTCTGACCCAGGGGACTCTCTGCGTGGGCTATTACTAACCCCAGGACTACCAGCCTCACCACTGTCGCCCTCGCTTGCTCAGGACACCCACCTGCCAGCCCACCCCAGCTCTCTGTGTTTTTCTTTTCCTCCCCATTCCCACCACAGGTTGCTCACCAAGGTGAAGGGTTCGTAGCTGCTGGGATTGAAGACGCTGGCTTGGCCTCGTTCTCCCTTCTTGCCCTGGCCCAGCTGGGACCAAACTCTGATCAGTACTAGGGGTGGGGGGAGGTAGACACTGAACTCCAACTTGGCCTCACCACCTCCTGCTCCCATGCAGGGGTGACACAAGCAAACTCTGGTAATGAGGGTGGGACAGGACCCACGTTGGCCTCCAGCCCATTACCCCCATAGCCCTGCCACTCCCGCACTTTCTTAGGTGAGTTTTTGCAAATAAAATGTGTTTCGCATCTTGCCGGCTTGGGTTGGGAAGCCTCAAAAGCGCATGGAAAGAAAGCACTCAGGCCCCATGGGCACGATCCATTGAAAAGCTTTTATTAAAAACCCCGGGGATGGCGGTGGGGTGACGGGGAGGCTCAGTCCTGTTGCTTGGTTCGGGAGGCCTCAGCATTGGCCCGGAGCACAGCTCCTGGAGACGGGTAGGGACGCTGCTGGAAGAGTGGCCCCGCTGCTGTGGTGTCTGCGCCCGTCTTGGCTTCATTCCGCTTGGGGAGTCCTGTTGACCATGTGCCCCTGGGGGTGACAGGGATTAGGGAATATGGTGGGTTAGAGGTTGGGAATATGAAATGTGAGGCACTCTGCACTCCCCACTCCCCCCGCCAACCCCAACAACTGACAAACGGGGGGAAGGAGATAGGAAAAAAAGGAATGATCATCAGCACAAGGGAGTCCAGAGAAAAGAGAAGGGCTCATGAGGGGTTCTCCTACCGAGGCGCGTCCGAGTAGGAGCTGGGGTCCATGGGGTCTAACTCTTCATCCTTCCGGCTTGCCGCTGGGGAAGGTGGCACAGTGAGGTCTCCAGTGGAGGGACAAGGAGCCCCTGATCACAAACTCCCCCATCCCATGAAGAAATGGGGTGCCTGGGTGCCATGGCGCACAACACCTTGTCCCAGGCCCCAGGTTCAGGCAATTGCGTGGGCAGAGCGAGGGCTTCCCTTACATGGCTCGCCCGTGATGCCTCACCCATCGTACTTGAGTCCTGCCCTGCTGCTCAGCTTACCCTTCTTGCTCTTGGGGTAGGGAGCCAGCTCCTCTCTGCGATGATGGCGCCGCTCCTTGCTCTCTTCCCTGTCTGACTTGTCATACCCGCGGTCCCGGTCCCTGTCCCGGTCCCGGTCTCTCTCTCTGTCCACTTTGTCATAACCACGTTCTCGATCTCTGTCAGACTTATCATGGCTCCGGTCCGACTTCTCATGGCTCCGGTCTGACTTCTCGTGGCTCCGGTCTGGCTTCTCATGGTTCCGGTCTGATTTCTCGTGGCCACGCTCCAGCTTCTCCTCAGCATCTGGGGACACAAAAGCCTTGAAGTGACCTTCCTCCTTCCATCTCTCAGGACCCAGCAGCCTCTGCCATCGACCACCTCCCTTGCCTGGGGTGGGGCCTTCCCATCTCCCCAGCCCCATGCCTGCTCCACTATCATGTATCTGACCCCTCTCTGAGGACTCCAGAAGCACTTGGGCACCCTTATCTGCCCTTGGGTCTGCCAACTCACCTGCATTATTGCTCCTGAGTTTCTTGGCAGATTTGGTAACGACGGAGTTGGGGTCATGCGGGGAAAGCCAGGACACGAGGTCGGTGTCCACATTCCAGTAGTAAGGGAGCCCGCTGTGGGGCAGTGGGATGGAAGTATGGACACAGGGAAGGAGGAAGGGGAGGGGTGTCAACACAGACGTCCTCTCCTTGTAGCCTCCACTCCTGTCTCCCCAGTCTCTATTTATGCCTGCCCCATGTCAGAAGCCCAGAAGGAGGACCCCCAGACCTCTTTCCTGTGTTCCCCATTTACCCTAAAGCCAGGCCCAGAGCCAGCACAGGAAAGGTCAAGTCAGATGTCAGACTCCCCGCCCCCCCGCCCCAGTTCCCCAGGCTCACCAGGATGGGTCAAACACTTTGTACCAGCTTGGTGGCAGGCCCTCCAACCGGGTGGCCTCATAGTCCACAGGGTCATCATCGTAGTCCTCAGCAATAATCTCTTCCTCTGGTTCTGGCAGGATAGCAGGGTGGAGGAAAGCAGTAAGGACCAGAGGAATTCTTATCCTGCAGTCAGAGCCTGGAGACATGCTCAGACTCACATGGACCATGTGTGTGCGTGTGCCAGGTCTCACCTTCTATGGCAAATATCACATTCCAAATCCAAGTGTCTGAAGATCAGGGGATTTGCCAAAAAACTTACCTAAATCTGTTCTGTTTCTGGGTTCAGATAAGATTTGAGATTTGATATCCTGTTACTGAAACCTATCTGGTTTCAGATTTTAGACAAGGATTCATCAAAACAAATGTATCCTCCAGTTCCTGAGTTCAGGAAGCATGTGACACCACGCTATCCCAATCTATTTGGATAAAATGAGTTTGAACAGTAAGCAGTTTATCTGAAAAACAAAATGCCCAAATCTATTCAGCTCCCAAGCTTGGTAAATATGGGGTTTCTGATTCTGTATATTGAGTAGCAAGTCTGGATAGGAAAGGATATATCCAAACACTGCTCCGCATCCATTCAGTTCCGAGGCCTGACACACAGCAGGACTACAACAGCTGTCAGTTACTATCAGTAGAATAAAAAATATGTATGTTGTCAGCTTGGTACATGACCCTCAGTAGACCTATGACAGATTTTGGCTGTGGATATAACTAACAATGAAATGTGTATGTCAGCAACAGCATAGTGCCTGTCACACAATAGGCCCAAAGCGAGTATTAGCTATAATCATCAGAATTGTTAGTAAGAGATATATACCATCAGCACAGAGCCTGGTACTCAACAGGCTTAAAATTAGCAACGACTGTTACCAGTATTATTAACCACAAGATCTATATGCCTGGCACAGAGTAGCTTGTAACAGATGTCATTTATTAATAAGGTGAAAATAAGATGTAATCTAGTGCCTAGCACACTGCAGCCCAAAACAGATGCCAGTTTTTACTATGATCGATAATAAGGTGTAAATATTAGCAGGAACAGCACAGCAGGTAGAAATGATAGATCCTACCATCATTTTCTACCACTATGTGTATGCCAAGCACCTAGACCCAAAATACATGTCAGCAATTGATATGGTGATCACTAAGGTATAGATCACCAACATAGTGCCTGGCCTCACAACACGTCTAAAATAATGTGATCAGTAGCATAAAGAACCCAGTATCCGCACCCCCCTACCGTCTAGGGAAAATGTCAGCTCTCCTTACTTCCGTGGATCGTCTGATGGATTGCGCGTGGCATACAACAGGCCCCAAAAAGGCATTAACCGTCAATATTAAGGATGAAACATGTATTCCCCACCCCCACCCCAGCCCGCGGTAGGAATGGATATCAGAAATCCATACCGTTAACAATACACGCCACGCCACTGACTGATGCGCGGTAGGCCCACGCTAGGTATCGAGTGGCGGTATCAACAACGAAGTGCCTGTCAAGCCAGGCACATTGTAGGCCCAACCGCTTTTAGCTCACTCACCGGGCTCCAGATGTTTGAGGATGCCTCTCTTGGCCAAGCGGGTCTGCAATGCAACAGGCAGCGGCATAGCGGATAACAGGCAGACCTAGGGACAGACAGATGAACAGACACGCTCACAAAAAACAACCCAGCTCAAGTGAGGATTCAAAACCCGACCTAAAACCGAGCGCCTCCTCCCGGCATATATCCCTCACTTACCCACCTGCACCAATAGCTGGGTAGACGGAACCTACAGGCTAAAAGATGGAATATAAGTGGCGATAACACCCAAACTCTCACCAACCCTCCCCTCGAGGCTGGGTGTTCCAAGACCCTGTTCCTCGCCCAGGCCCCGGCTCCGCCCACCGCCGAAGGGGCCAAGCTCAGTTCCCCCGCGCTCCCGGAATGAGCTCACCCAACGTCCCCCAAAGACTGCTGGGTGGGAGGAACCAAAGCGCTGGGACGGGGGAGCAGAATGAAGCACCTCTTCCGGCTGCAAAAAATGCGCCCACCCTGACATTACCAATGCAATCACGCGAGCAGTGGAAAGCTGACAGGTCGGCCACCTCTCTCTCGTCCCCGCTAGGATCACGAGGACCACACGACGGCCTTCTCCCAAAACACCAAACGAGGTCCTCTCTCCCCGACGCTTGAGGTATCTGGGCGACGCACAGGCTGCAGTGGAGATGACGCAAACTCGGTGGCCAATGAGAGCGTGTGCCTGCCCTGATGAGCAGCAAAACGACCCAATCGCTGGCCTGGAATGGGTGGACAGCTCGGCGCCAGTGTGCGTTTACAGTGGGGGCGTGGCCTAGCCGGGCTTTAGCCGGACTGCGCGGCCAGACGCCGGCGCCATGGAGGAGTACGCTCGGGAGCCTTGGTACGGCGATGGGCACAGGCCTCGGGATTGTTGCTGCGGCGCCACCGCCAGCTGTGGGAGGCGGGCGGGGGAGGCGCTGGCCACACCGCGCCACGTCCCAGACTCGGGAGACTCTTAGACGTTTGTGGTCTCCTTCCGCTCCCCTCCGCTTCGTTCCTCTCACTCGGGCTCCGTTAAGAGAGGCCGCAGCTGTGAGCCCGGAGAAGGTGCGGTGCAGGGACCAACCACTCAACCTTTCCTCAGACTCCGCATCCCCTCCCCCGTCCCTCTTTGTTAAGGAAAAGAGACACGCTGGTCGAATCCATTCCAGCTTGGGGGGTGGTGCGGGGTCGAGCGGAAATCCCCAGGGTTACCACGCGTGGCTTTTCCCAGGTCGCTTTAGTGGATGGGGGCGGGGCTGGGTGAACCTGTGGCGGACGGACTGGATCCTCCCCACGGCCTGCGCTTGGTTTTTCCCAGTTGTGATCGGTTAAAAGAGAGGGAAGACGGGATTTGGTTGGACGTGCTCATCGTCGGGGACGGAGGTGCGACCCCGTCCTGCTTTAATAACAGTACTAGCAAATTAACACTTTCACAGCGCTGACTTAAAGGTGCTGACTCTGCGTGTCTCATCAGTTCATTTAGTCTTTAGTAGTGGTAAAGCAGTTGGCGAATTCCTTGCTTGGCCTCGAGGGGAGGGGCGGGCGAGCAAAGACTAATGCTTTTCCCCTTTTGCACCATTTCTTGCTCAAACGAGGGGGAAAATAATCTCATTTGAAGTGCTGCTTCCCATTCGGGTGACTTGGTCTCTCCCAATTGGAAAGAGTCCGTGCACCATGGCGGGGGAAGAGGGGCTCACTTAACCCACCCTTCCCTTTTGGCTTGCAGCCCATGGCGAATTGTGGACGATTGCGGTGGAGCCTTCACTATGGGTGTCATCGGCGGTGGAGTCTTCCAGGCCATCAAGGGCTTCCGCAATGCCCCTGTTGTGAGTCGTGGCCTTCCCTGGGTAGTGTGGGGGTCCTGCCATGCCCACATGGGATACTGCTATGAACACTGCGTGGGGCTGCCAAAACTTGCTCATTACAGTGCCGGCTAGCCTACTATGTGCCAGGCCTGGCTCCAGGATCTGTGGTTTGGGGTGAACTGCAAACACGGCTCTCTGTCCCTCTCCCCGCGCCACCCAGCTGGAGCTCCTCTGTGGAAATGCTGTGCCGTGAAAACGGTCATTACCAAACTCTAAATGTATGCGCAAAGCCAGAGAGATTTTCCCCAGAGGCAGATTCTGGGTCAGAAACCTGGATACAGGGAAGTGACAAGAGTTTAACTGGCAGAAAGCAGACAGCCTTAAAGTCAAGAAAATGCTTTTAATGTGACCTAATCATTTCTCTTTCTGACCACCCTCTTCCAAGATCTTAACCAAACGTCCTGGCTTTAAGTGCTATCCATTTACTAAGGTCTCTGTAATTTATATACCTAGTCCTGTCTCTCCCCTCAACTCCTGGAACTCTTTCCCAGATCTTTACCCACATTTTCTGTTCTCATCCTCAAGGCCTCAACACAAATGCCCCCTCCTTTAGAGTCCTTTCCCAACCCCCCAGTTATTATCATGTCTCTCTATTCTATTTCCTCTATGGTCTGTATGGCTGTGTAAAGCTGCCTTGTTTATCTGTACCTCTGCTAGGGATCTGTCTCTCCCACTGTTATGTGAGCTTTGAGAGGGCAAAAGCTAGGTCCGTCTCATTCACCACCCCTGCATACAGCCAGGTGCCTGGGATAGGTGCTAGTAGTAACATTGGATGAATGCGAATTTCTCAACCCACAGCTGAGAACGCCCAAGTTAGGGTGCTCCACAGCCTCCTAGTTCTCAGCCACTGCTCCACATCTCTACTTCTGACAATCCGTGACCCGTCGTGTTCCCTGTCTTAAAAGCTAGAAACCCTGCCTGCCAGGGGCCTCAGCCCTATTCTGACTCCCCGCCTCCTCACTTTTCCCAGGGATTTCGGCACCGATTGAGAGGTAGTATCAACGCTGTGAGGATCAGAGCCCCGCAGATTGGAGGTAAGAGGCTTGGAGAGACCTAGGAGATCTGCAAAGTTGGGGGTAGCTGCTCCTTTGGTTCTAAAAGGTTTTTTTTTAACTTATTTTTTTTAATTTTTATTTATTTATGATTGATAGTCACACACACACAGAGAGAGAGACAGAGACATAGGCAGAGGGAGAAGCAGGCTCCATGCACCGGGAGCCCGATGTGGGATTCGATCCCGGCTCTCCAGGATCGCGCCCTGGGCCAAAGGCAGGCGCTAAACCGCTGTGCCACCCAGGGATCCCTGGTTCTAGACTGCAAAGTGGGGCCCACATTCCAGCCCCAACTCTGCCTGGGACAGTGATGTTTCCCAATAATTTAATATGGGGGGGGGGCAAGAATGTGGATTCTGGAGTTTAAATCTGGGCCCTGGATCTTCCCTGATGCATGATTTTGGGTTTGTGGCTTCCTTTGCCCAAACCTCATCAGTAATATGGAGATGATGATAGCCATAACCACCGAAATTGTTTTGTAATTTGTTATTTATGTTTATGTAACTTACATAGTACTCACTAAGTGCTGGCTGCCCTGCTAAGTACTTTAATAATATTAACAAATTTAAGACTTCAGAAGTCAAATGACATGCAGTGCTGAAAACAGGTCCTGGCACACAGTAAAGCCTCGATAAACACTTTAACTATCATACCATTAACTGGTTTTTGTAACCTGTTTTTGTCTCCCTTAAACCAGTATCAGAATTCTACCTCTATGTGATGGTTAGGAAGAACAGTGTTGCTCTGTTAAAAGCCACATAAAAGATAAATCTGCTTGTAAACATTTGTCAAACAAAGGTGAGGGGAATGCCGATGGCAATTAGAGATTGCTTGAAGAAGGAGCCATCCCTGGGGCAGATGGGGAATATCCCCTAGGAGTTTAACTATCTGCCTTTGTGTCTGGGTTTTTCTCCCCATTCATTGCCAGAGCATGCAGGCCTTAGAAGTCCCCAGACCATGACCTGTGGATTCTTGGGATTCCTCAGGAACACTGATTAGGCCTTGCTCTCTGCAGGTAGCTTTGCAGTGTGGGGGGGGCTGTTCTCCACCATCGACTGTGGCCTGGTGCGCCTGCGGGGCAAAGAAGATCCCTGGAATTCCATTACCAGCGGAGCATTGACTGGGGCTGTTCTGGCTGCCCGCAGTGAGTGCCCCCGACCCTCGGCCCCAGCCCCTTCTGCCCTGTTCTCCTTGCCTTCACCTCTTTCTCCCTGCCGTTTCACTCTCCTAGGTGGCCCATTGGCCATGGTGGGCTCAGCAATGATGGGGGGCATCCTCTTGGCTCTCATAGAGGGTGTTGGCATCCTCCTTACTCGCTATACTGCCCAGCAGTTCCGCAATGGTGAGTACCTGGGAGACGGACACTAGTTGGGGAAAGGTGCAAAATGTTCTGACTGTACACTGCATCTCACTCTTACCTGATTCTTTCCTCTCCAGCACCCCCGTTCTTGGAGGACCCCAGCCAGCTGCCCCCTAAGGAGGGTACCCCAGCCCCAGGCTATCCCAGCTATCAGCAGTACCACTAAGGATGTGACTGTCTGTCATCACCACCGTGGGAGCTCCTCCTCCGTTCCCTCCCCGATGATCTACCTCGAAGGGAGGGCTGGCTCCCAGTTGGCCCTGGGACCCTCCAGAGAGGGCCTCTACTCTGTTCCCTTGTCCCAGGGTGGGGGGTGGGGCACCCCAGCTGCTCTGACGGATGGGTCCCCTTCTCTCTCAGGGCACCCCAACCCCAAATTCACATGTAACAAGTTCTCATCCCAGTCCCCTTTCCTGGCGCCTTGATGAGTATTTAAAGCCAATTTTGAAATGCCTGTGTATGTACTTACTGAGCCACCCATAGGAGCCCCTCCTTAGGACAAGGGTCAGAGCCCTTTTCGGGGACCCAGAAGCCCTAGGATTTGGGAGTCCCGCAGAGAGCGAACTCTAGTAAATGTTCGTGGGATAAATGAGCGGGAGGGGGGAATGAATCAAGGTTTAAATAGGTACATGAATAACGATGTGTGGGGGCCAAGTGATGAATCGTAGGGAGACAGAGGAACAGGTTTGGGAAAGAAGTGAGAGAACAGAAAGGATTACTGGGGTTGGTAGGGGCCAGGTAGTTCTGCACCTTGCAGCAGACCCCTCCCTCCCATTGCCCCCATTGCCAAGGCTGGGAAACCTGACCTCACAATGAATTCAGCTTTCTCTATACCAGTCACCTCATTTGTGAAGGTAACTTCCCTCTGTGTGACCTCACCATAGACCCAGGATAGAAGTAAGGGTCAGAAGGATCCAGCTTTCTTGAGGAAGGTGCTCTGTGCCAGTCTCATCTCTTCTGTATCACAGATACGCTTCTGCTCCGTGATGCTCAGTGTTGCAGGTTTTTTTAAGGGCAACCATAAAATAACCAGAAATGAGGTTTCACATTGAGGTGGGGGAGTTTCGGGAAAGAACATTTTTCTGGATGGACATTAACCCAAAACTGCTGTCTCTTCCACACAAACCTCCACGTGTATGGGGCAAACACTGTCACCACTGGGGTGCAAATGGCCCCATGGGAGACCCAGGAACTCTGTGCAAGCTGTTACAAAGAGGTGGAATGTCCTTAAAATAGCTTCCTGTGGGTAAAAATACCAGAGTTCCTGACCTCCCAACAGCCTCGAAGTAGTAGCAGAACTGCAACCGAGCCTGCTGGAGTGCCTTGGTGCCAGGCAGTTTGCAGCTCCCAGACTGAAGACTCCAGGGAAGCAAAATGTGGGG